CAATAACAACAACAACAACAACAACAACACCAACAGCAGCAACAGCAATAACTTGAATGCAGGACACTCGCATCTCTCCAGCAACGCAGGCGGCGGCTCTGTCCTGGAGGCCCAGAATCCGGCGCATGCTAGCCCGGGCTTTGGCCTGGGCGTGCACGGCATGAGCATGGGCGTGGGCGTGGGCGTTGGTGTGGGCGTCGGCGTGGGCGTGGGTGGTGGCAATTCGACGCTCAACTCACTGGTCGTCGGCAATCGGCTGATGAACAGCAGCCTGCCCACGCTGCTCAAATGATGCCACCTGGAAAAGTTCGGGCTGAGCCTGGGCGCCGGGCCGCCGCCGCCAGCGGCCACGCCCGCCGGTGACTCAGCACTGGACGCCAGCAGCGGACTGACCTACGCTGGCAACTATGGCGAGCGTTCGCTCTACGACTATGTGGACGTCAAAGGCGAACAGGCGACGTTTTTATTGTAAGTGTAACCAAAACCACCAAAAATACCAAATGCAAAACAAGAAACAAACCAAAATAACAAAACTAAACAAAGCAGCGGATTTTACTCTTAGGCATTAGAGAAAGAAAGTATTAGAAATATATATGTTGGACACTTTCACCAGGGATTGGTTCCCAGTGTTGCCCGTGTGCATGCAGCGTCGTGGATCCTGCGGCAGGCAGGCATAGTATGCATCGGAGCCCATGGTGCTTATAATGCCCAGCAGCAGATACAAAGTCCAATGCATCATCTCGATTCAGCTTTCGATTGTATATGATATTTCACTTCGTTTTCCTTCTATTGTTATCGATTAGTTCAGCGCACCATGAAGGTCAGCTTAGCTTCTGTAGTTAAGCGTAGGCAAATGTATGAGAGGCTGTCTGTATGCGACAACAGCTAAGAACAGATTCGGTCAGCTCAATATCAAAGGCGACGTTTTTATTGTAAAAATCTAGACAAAGCACTTATCAATTCCACCACGGATTGGTTCCCAGTGTTGTCCTTGTTGCTCCCCACTTGTGGCTGCACTGAAGGTAATAATTACATTTGCCACTGCAGCATCGATTATCTTTGAGGCACATTTGGCCATTAGGTATGCAGCCATAGTATGGAACATCGCCATTCGCGCTCATAACGGCCAGCAGCAGGTACAACTTCCAATTCATCTTGTCGATTGTGTATGATCCATCTCGATTCAGTTGACCATTGGATAAATGATATTTCCCTTTGCTTTGCCTTGCTATCGATTAGTTCATCGTGTTAGTTACATAGTAACCATGAAGATCAGGTTAGCTTATGTAAGTATGAATAGGCAAATAAATATATTTATATATATATATATATATATATATATATATATATATATATATATATATATATCAGAGTATGTACTTATGTATCACCAGCTAAGTTCTGATACGGTCAGTCAGTCGATCACAAACAGTTAACCCCTAATGGGTATCTTTGCAGGTAAACTAATAGAAGAGCTCATTCAACATATATATATCTGATAAATATATATATTTTAAAAACTTCAACAACTCTCGAATAGGACTATTCGCTTATTATCTATTTAAGAAATTTTATACATTTCAAGCAAATTAACTGTCAGACTTTTGATGCTAATCTTTTATACCATATGTTTTTTTTGCCACAAATAAATTTTGTGGCGCAATGGCCACTGCAGCATTCACCATTAAATGGCAAAATCGTCCTATTTCCAATTTCCATTTTGCGCACAAATAGTGTAAGCTACCACAGAAAAAGTTTCTTTTTGTTGGCTCCGGGACTGAGTTGTATCTGTTTAAATTTTTTTCGGTCGTTTCACATATTAGTTACCGCATCAACTGCAACTTAGGTCTTAGACTGGCTTGACTAAGGCCATTATTATATCAAATTTAAGAAGAAATTTCATTTGTCATGCAGCTGATAAGTTTCCTAAGCAAGCCATAAGCATCAGTGCTGATGCTAGAATTGGTAAGTTCTTTATATATATATATATAAATATATGGTATATATATGAATTTGAAACTGTTGTAATTATGAGCGTCATCTGGTGACCTTCCCCTTTTGCCATTTTTAACACATTTTAGTTACGTTAATGAAACTTTATTAACTATTATCTGCCAAAATTATAACTCTTCATTTTTGGTGTCGAGGGTTTTTCTTGAATGCAATACAATCCGGCGTAGCAATTGAGAGTACAGCAATCTTCATGCCCATAGCAGACATGTGCAAGGCCAAAGCAAGGCCTCTTTGCGCTTATCCACAAGGTGCTCGCAAATAGCATTAGCAACCACAGAAGAAGTTTCATTTTGTAGGCTCTGGGACTGAATTGTATTTGTTTCAATTTTTTTCGCTAGTTTCACGTATTAGTTACCGTATCAATTGCAACTTATGCATTAGACTGGCTTAACTAAGGCCACTATCAAATTAAGAAGAAAAGATTCATTTGTCATGTAGCTGATACGATTTCGAAGCAAACCATTAGCATCAGTGCTGAATCTAGAATTGTGAAGTTCTTAATAAAGCTTGGATTTCTATACCTTATTATGGGTATATATGTTTATATATATTTATATATATATATATATATATATATATATATATATATATATAAAGTTAAGCAATTATCTAATAGGCCCATTCGTTTACTGTCTTTAAGAATTTTCCTACATTCATTTCAAGCTGACAGCAAATAGCCAACCTGACAGACCTCTGATGCTGACCAAGAATATATATATAGATGTATATTAGATTTAGCCATTTTTAACACTTTTTATTTATATAATTAAATTGTATTAACTTTACTCCTTCAACATAATTGGCTTTTCTTATTTTTCTAAACAAAATTTTTTGAACTGTATTTATTTATTTTTTGTCGTCACAAAACAATCTAAAGGAGCATCTGTGACTACAGCATTCACGATCTTTAGTGCAGGATCGTCCAAGGCCCACGCATTTCATGGTATTTGCCCTTATCCACAAAATGCTCGCAAATATTGAAGAAGAAGAAGAAGAAGAAGTTTCATTTTGTTGGTTCTGTGACTGAACTGTATCTTTTGATATTTTTTCGGTCGCTTCACGTATTAGTTACCGCATCAACTGCAACATATATCAGACTTGACTAAGGCCATTATATCAAATTAAAGAAAAAAAAATTCATTTGTCATGCAGCTGACAATTAGCATTAGCATCAGTGCTGATGCTAGAATTGTGAAGTTCTTTATAAATCTTGCTGGATTTCTATGTCTTATTAAAGATTAGGAATGATCGATAACTGTAAATAAATAAGCCTGAACCTGAAAAGAAAGCTCGAAAGTCGTTGGGGTTGCCTTCAATTAATTAATCAATTTTTATTTAGGCTCGAGTCCGTTTAGAGAATAAAATTCGAAAAAAAAATTAAAAGTTCATGAAGGAAGAATGCTTAAGAGGCTATAAGGTAAATGGTATATACATATATACATTCTTGATCAGCTATAATCTTAGGCCAGTGCGACGCATGTGTATGTAAATATCATTCAGCTACGGTAGATTCAAACGTTTCGTGTGCTGTTGATATATATCTATAAATATATATGTAAATGGGTGTATGAATGTGTGCGTGTATGTGTGCATGTATTTAGTCTACTTTAGTTAGACGTTGTTGCTGTAAGTTTAACTCTTAACTAAAAATATACATATGAGAATCAAACAAAAATAGTTTTCCAATACGAAAACAATTTCGCGAATCTTCAGAATTGTTCTAGTATAAATAATCGATTGTAAGCTATCATACCTACATATAAATGTATATAAATACATATACGCATACATATATGTGTGTATATGAAGTATTTTGAATTGTTGTTAGCATTTGCCACTTGTTAATAGTAAGCGATAAGCAAGTCTTAATGGATCATTCATTCTATGTCTTTCTGCTCGAGCGATTCACGCATAAATATTAATTGTAAGCCCGATCGATAACAAGTTATCGATAGTTTTTCGCTTAATAGAGAATGCGTTTGTTAACGGCGAACTGTAAATATACAAATATATAGCAGCTAGATCTAAGAATGCATAGAGTATTTTTTAGTTGTGCCGCCATACCCTGTAGCATTTGCCTGGTACAGGGTATTAGCTATGCGAACACACTCGTCTCGGCTCACATTTCAGCTCTGTTTTCCAATTTTGTTTTTATCTCTTTCTACGATATTTGGAATATTCTTTATCAGTTCGATATGGTTGACTGTGATAGTTGATTGTACAGTTAAAATCTCTTGAATGATTTCTAACCTAAATAAATAATCCAATAAAATATTTAAAGGAAAAAAGAAAACAATATATAAATATATAAATAATTAAAACTAACATTAAAGTGCGAAACTTCTGTGTGTATAAAAAATATTTAGAATTTTTAAGCGCAAGTTTAACATTATTAATATATACCCTCTAAAGCCCACTAACATGCTGGGTATCGATACTTATAAATGTACTTATGTAATTTTTAAATGTGTGTGTGTAATTGAGATACGCAACTTTATGCCACATCTAAATGTATACAATTTTTAAAATCTGAATGTAACTTTACAAAATATATTATATAGCTAAGTATAAAAAACAACCACCACGCCCACATTGTGTACCCCAACTCCTAGTCCTAACTGTTCCCAGTAAGCGTTAAGTTGATTTAAGTGGAATACCTTTAACGAAATAATAAAAAACAAAAATTGAAACCCAATTCAAAAACAACAAAACGAATCTTTTTCTAATCCCTTTGTTTTTCTTCTCCTTTTTCTTTACTTTATATACAAGATGTTACTAATTAGCATAGTTATTGCTTATGTATTACTGTGTGTCCTTGTTGAACCACTTGAACTCGTAGTGCTTCAGCGAATTTTCGGCTGGCAGTGCTGCCTCGTTGCCCTCCAACTTGCGCCAGCTGATGTGCGGCTGGAAGCCGAACTCGTTCGCAATATACTCAACCATGCGCTCCACAGCATCGTCGCCGATGGCAAAGTAGTTGCCCACCTTATCGCCATTCCGGCTGCCAGTCTCCTCGTGTCCATTGTAGTCCAGCAGGTATTTGAATTTGTACAAGTCGCCGGTCAGATCTGCGCTGCCAGCCGCTCCTGAGTTGGTTGTTGTCTTCGATGCGGTGTTTGCTGCAAGCAAAGCTTTTGCTGTTAAACTTAACGAATGGATTGTTGTTGTATGCGCATACTTGGCGTATAAGTTGCTGAGCCGCTGCTGGGTGGTTGTATTTGCTTCTTTGCTGCCACGCCAGGCTGAGCTGCGGCAGCTGCAAGTGTAGATTAAATTTAAAATAACTTGATGAACTGGAAGTTGTCTAGGCTTACTTGGTGTGTAACTTGCTGCATTGCTACCCAATGGTTGTGGTCTCTGATGTGTTTGAGTTGCACCTAACGCTGCAAATATGTGGAAAGTAAATGAAACTTAACGAATAGGTAGCTGTCTGTACTTACTTGGCTTGAAGTTGGCTGAGCTGCCTGCAGCTGGTTGCTGCTGACTTGCTCCTGTGGCTGTAAGTAAGTGTATTATGAATAAGACTTAACCATGGGTTAGGTGTCTAGGCTTACTTGGCTTGAAGCTGGCTGAGCTGCTGCTAGCTGGCTGTGGTCGCTGCTGTGATTGTGAACCTGACAAGGCTGTGAATATTTATTAGAGTAAGTAGGCTTAACGAATGGTTGGTGTCTCAGCTTACGCGTCGTGAAGCCAGTTGATTGTTGTTGCGGCTTGGTGGATGTCACGGCTGGTCGAGCTGCCGCATTGCCAACTGTATTGATGGGTTGTTGTACTGGCTGAGCCCCTGTTGAATATTGAATTTTAAATTAGTTTAAGTTTAATTAAATGCAAATTGGTTAATTGGTTTACTCAGTGGCTGTGTGTGTACAACGGTGTGTGTTATTTGTGCTGGTGTTGTTGTTTTTTGTGTGTACAATAGTGAATCAGAAATTGGCTTTGAAAATTGATGTGGCGCGGCTGCGCTTGGAATGCGGTTATCACGCGACGGCGTCGACGTCAAAGCATTATCCTTCGATTGATGATTCCCAAAGCCAGGACGTGTCAGCTGCGGCAAGTTGCTTAACTCAGCCTTGACTAAGTCGGGCTTAGCAAGAGCTGACGACAGCTGTTGGCTGCTCGTGGGTAAAGTTCCAAATGCAAAGCTGTTAATATCCTTGGGGCCTGTTGCGGCGGGCGTAATCTTGGGCAGCTGCTCCACGATTACAGGCAAGACTAAAGGATGCTGCACCGCGACCTTGGAGGAGGATAACGGTAACTGCTGCCTCTTAGCCTGCAGCTGAGCAGAGGCAAAGCTATTCGAATCCTTGGCGACTGGTGTAATCCTGGTCAGCAGCCCCTCTGTTGCATGTTTGATGGGCAGCACCAAATGCTGCATGGAGCTTAAGACGTTCTGATTGACGCCTTGAGCCTTGCGTTCAGCGCTGACTAACAGCTGCTGCTGGCTTTTGCTTGGCTGTTGACCAAAGGCAAAGCTATTCAAATCCTTTGGTACAGTTGAGCCAGGTGGAACTTTTGGCAGCTTCTGCACTTGCTCCACAGCAGAGCTGAGGAAGCTCTCTGGCAGCAAATGCTGCGGCTGCGGCGCTGAAGCAGAGGTATGAGGTCTGCTTGTTACCCTCATGCCATGCACCTTGGCAATCGCATGCGACAAAGCCACAGCATGCGCATTGACCACCACAGGAGCTGGTGTCGTCGTCTCATCCGAGTGCGTGGCAACTGCGTCTGCTGCTCCTGGAGCCACCTGAAAGCCAGTGGAGTGCAGCAGAGTGCTTGGCTGTCCAGCTAACACGGCCAGCTGTATGGAGGCCTCATGCAGAGCATCTACATTATCGAAAGTCGCCTGGCTAAAGATTCCACTCTGTGTTTGTGTCTGTTGTGTGCGTGTGTATGTGTGCGATTGATCTGTTAGCAGCTCACCTGGCACAGCGGCTGCCGCCGTGGACAGCGGCTGCGAGAGCGGACGTATATCGTTTTTCGTACTGCGATTACCTTCGGCATTTGCAGTATTCTTCGTTTCTGGCGCGGATGTGGCCAGGAAACAGCCCGAACAGGCGGCCGTATGGAAATTGTGCTTGGTCACAGGCGGCGTGGTGCGCTGTGTGCTCGTTGCTGGAGGCGGGCTCTCTATGAATGAGATAAACGATGGTCAAATACAGTGCACTTCGAGGGGAACCTCAGTTCAAACCCTGCTCAGTGATACGCATCTCTACTTACTGGGCGCTTTGGGACCTGCATACGGAAAGTTCTTCATGGAGATGATGCGAAACTTGCCATTCTCGTCAGTCGCATAGACAGTTACATGGTAGATGCCATCGGCGGTAATAAAGCCAAATTCGCCCATTACGATGCCATTCTCGTCTGGAAAAGGGCGGAAGACAAGCTGATTAACATTTCATAAGCGCGTTAAGTTGAGCCCCTCGTTAATGATCGACCGATTGATACTCTGTAAGCTGCAGCTGCAGAGAGTTTGTATAGCTGGATATTGTAAACTAACTAACTTATAGATTTATCGATTTTGTTTAAAGAGAACTTTTTAAGAAGTTGCAGTAAGAGGAAAGTCTACTATTTAAGAAGAAGTTGTATCATAAAGCTTTAAAAATATATATATTAATAGATACAGCAATTTTTTATCGATATAAATCGATTTTGAGTTTGATTGGAAATCGATAATTATCAGTTATAAAAAGGCGATAAATTCGTTTATTTTTTATATTTTTACAAATTTTGACTTTACCGAGATTAAAGTTCTAAATACTGTTCGAGTAATCTAAATACCTCACAGCTGGTAAAGCCTCACTATCTACAGAGCAGAGTGTGCGAGTATAGGGTACAGGGTCTTGAGACTACATGCCATAAATTACCGTCGTTATTGGTGCTCAGAAAGCATAACTGGTTCAATTCTTTTCATAATTCGTTTGACAAACCAGCCAAACGGGCGCTGACGCTCGGCTATAAAGATAAGCATCTAATAAACTGTTGTGATATGACGATGTTCGTCATCTTGTTATCTTCTTCTGCTTTTCCTCAGCTTCTTTTGTCTACACACGCGCGTAGGGGGCGAATCTATGTCGAGAATTATGTTCAGCTCGTAAACTTTGCGTCTACATCCTGCTACCTACAGCCACCCACCTGTGCAGCACCTGTCATAGCCGTCTGTCTAGATTATTTTGTTGCTTTCATGGCTGCCTAATCGAGTTTCGTTTCGCACTTATCGCTTACCGATCGCGTTCTTTAAACGCTTTAATGGCTGTTTTGCGATTGTTTGTATTATTTTAATGCCTATAATCGGCTGTCAGTTCTTTATAGCTAAGGCCTTTGTACGATCTTAACTTTTAAGGTATTCAAATGCCATTTGAAATATCAATAGTTAGTTGAAAAGGTGATTTTTTTTCTTTTGTAAAGCTATGGAATAGAAAAAGATGCCTTAGCAGCTAGTATAGAGTGAGAGAGAGAGAAAGAAAGCACTTAAGATATTTTATAGGCTTTATCTTATAACTTAACTAATCATATATATTGAACTTTTTATCCTTTGAGAATTTTTTTATTCAAACTACTTTTTTATTGTGAATTATACTTATATTTTTAATATGAACCTATTGAGATTGTATGTATAGACAACTTTTTTTACCGTCTATTAATTTTATAATAGTTTTACATACATTAATATTTCTATAATAAATTTTTAAGAGTCCAGGAAATTATTGTTTATAGATGAAAAGTTATTTTTGATAAGGTTCAATTTCTTTTTGTGCATTTCTATTAAGTTAATCAGAAGACGTCATTATTCATTTAAAAGTTGAACTCGCGCTCAATATTCATTTTTATTCTCTCTTTTCTATATTGTTTTACTTTTACTTTTACTTTTATTACCAGTTTTAAGACAAGCCAAGGGAACGTCTCAACAGTAGTGCCTTATACAACTCTTAATTTTTATTAGTATTTATAATTAGAACTAATCCAAAACGATATTTCATTTCATATGCAAATGCACTTCATGTAGTGTGCACAACAAGTTACTCAAGCGAGCTGTGTGTGTGTTTCCTCAACACACTCAACTCTGGCATTTGATGTGGGCAGCAAGCCGAATGAAATCAAAACCGCGAAATATTTACTTATAAATATTGAAATTTTTGGACATTTGAATTCGTTTAAAAACAATATGAAAGAAGATTCAAAATCCATAAATATGCCAAGGCATGCTATGGAGCACTGCTGTCTCTACATGTTATGCTAATTGAAGAGGTTCTAAAGTTTTCGAAAAACTTTATTACCAATTCGAAAAAAAAGAAAAAAAAAACGAAACGGCAGCCTTTATGTGATCTTTAAGATTGTCGTAGCTGTAGATGGAGTCGATGCTAACACTGAGACTTGGCGACTTGAGGCATTTCAATTGATATTGACCTGCAGCACGTCGGGTGTCAGCAGCTGCAGCAATTAGAGACCTCTAAACGTGTATTGCGCAAGCCGTTGGGGCAGTTGCGTCTCTGTTTGTGGCAGTTGCACAATGGCCAGTTATGCCTTTTATGTCAGCATGATGCAGCTTAATTTACATACATACATATATATATATATGTGCATATATGTGTGTCAATCGATTGCACAATTATTATAACAATTAAATGAATCCTTTGTCTGCTTCTCACCTCGACTCTCGGCACGATGCTGTTGCTCCTCGATGGTAAAGCCGAATTTGTAGGGACGCACAGTAGCTGCCAGCAGACTCTGACAGCACAGCAAAGTCAGCAGCTTAAATAAATTAAACAATTAAAAACAATTCCACCCACACACACTCATTCACTGTACACTTACAGCACAAGTAAAAGCCAAAAATATTTGGCTCATTTTGCAGCTGCTTTTATTGTTAATTTAAATCAATTTTAATTAATTTTTAATTGCTTTTTAACGGAACGCAGCTTATTTATTAGTATATTATTTATATATTTTTATTTTGAATTTAATTTATGCGTGGCTGTGCCGTTATGCGACGCGTCTCTCGGCTGAGCAGGCGACAAGCTGAAACACACCCCACGATGTTCGTCGACCAATTGACAAACTAAATAATATTTGGTAAACATTATAAAACATTGTCAGCTTCTACAGCTGGATGAGCCAGCTTGCGTGTGCGTCTTCGTGTGTGTGTGAGCTAGCATTTCAGCTACCTCATTCATGTGTGGCTTCTGCTAACTGAATACCCTTTAGACCATGCGCAAGCTCAGCTTATGTTTGTTTATATTCATTTGCTGCCAGACCTTAAGCTATGTGTTTATTACACAAGTTGAGGTAAGTTTATTTTTACAAATATAACTGATAATTTTCTTGAATTTGCTATTGAGGCTGTGCATAGAAGACATAGTTTCAACTTTATTATATATTATTTTATATATTCTTAAGCATAGCTTAAATAAGAACAAATTCTAAGGCAGCTCCAGCTACAAATCATAAAAAACTTAACATTGCTATCCAGGTACTTAACTAATCATAAACTGATGGATTCAAAAGGGAAAAAATGTAGATACATTTTTTATTTATTTTTTCATAAGAAAATTTAGAACACGAAAATATAATTTTATTAAACTTTTTTTCTTTACCAAATTAATTTAATATTAATGTAGAAATAATAACTTTTAATTTATACAGGGTATATGTAAGTTGGTCTTGCAAAAAGAAAACATCATACTCCAGTATAAATAAATTTTAGCATTTATCAAAAGTTGTCATTATGCTGTTCATTTGCATAGCTCTTCTAAATGGAATATACATGAATCAGGTAATATACTATATTTATTGACACCTACGAAGAGTGAGTAGGCAACGTAGTATTCGCAGTTAATTGGCTAATTGAAGATTAGCTGGCCGGCTTTATAAATGGATACCCAGTATGATTTATCTGGTCTTCTATTGATGTCGCGCTCAGTTGTCAACATTCTGAATGCAATGAGGAAGAGTTCGATTGGCTTGCATCATTAATTAGCCTGTCCTAAGATGCGTTGCACTTGCCGGATGTTGTGAAGATGCATCTAGTGAGCTGTCAGTTATCTTCTTGTATCGTAAAATATTGCTGTCAAGTTCAAGGAATATTTTGCGCGCGCTTCTGTCCCTCATTTGCATATAGATTGCAACTGCAACTGCAGCTGCGTACTTCAATAACATATTAAATAAGCAAAATTGCTTCGATTTAATTGCAACTGCCAAAGAATATGCTATGAAAAATTTTCAAGTTTGTTGCCTAAGTCTTTTGTTTTGCTTGCAATTTTTAGCTTAAGCCCAAAAGTCTGACTTTCTTGCAAGTGGCAAGCGAAAAGTATGTAAAACTAGGTACATACTTATAGGTGGTGCAAAAGACTACAAATACCCTGTAATACAGGAAATAAAGTGTATTAGTTTTTTTTTTAATTTTATTTAAAGATGAAACAAAAGTTAAGAAAGAGCGAGAGCAGAGTCAATCGAATTGTGGTTATTTGTCCTTCTGTCTGTTCGTTTACTTGTTTATTTGTTTGCACCGACTCTCTACACTGCTCGTCATCAGGTAAGAGCCTCCTTTTTATACTTCGTTTAAGTATCAATAATATTTATCCATTACAATACAATATTTATCCATTAAATTGCATTAATTTTTTTTAAATAAAATAGAATTGTTTCACAATAATATTAAAAAAAATTATTTTTAGACAGAGAATAACAAAGCTCCAAAAATTTGAAATCAGAATAGCATCAACAGGGAAAATATAGATTGGTTTTGGTTTCGTGAATATTTATAATATATATTATATTATTAACATCATCAATGTATTATTTAATTTTCATATCAAGTTTTATTTCAGCCTTTGTTGTCAATTTGAGAGACAAAAGATGCCAAAATTATTTAATTTTCTTTTTCTTTTTGTTTATTTGCTTCCATTAAATGCTGATATAAAATGCTTAAGTTAATTGATACCTTATAAATAAATAACGATCTTTTATTTCTTTTTGATTAAAGAAGTTAGGCTGCTTTTTTATCCAATGTATTGTCCCCACTGTTCTCCGACCTCAAGCGAATGCTCGTTGCAGAGGCCTATTTTAAGACCACAAACAAATCACATGATTAAGTTGATAGCAACTTATTCTATTTGGCTTCGAAGACAACTATGTAGTCTGAGCGTGTCTCAAATTGATTCATCTATTTCTATATTTACATCTGCGTCTATCTTCTATCAATTTAGATAATTTTTCACACCGCCAAGTGTGCATAATTATATAGTCTATGTATCTATATGTCTAAGTGTTAAACAGCATATGAAACTAGGGTAATTCAGTGTCCATCAATTGCCGCTAATCGCAATAGAGAAGTCAAAGCAAACGAGTTGCGGCGAATCGAAGCGCTCGCTGTGACTGAACCAAGCGCGCAGCTGACCCAAACCTTTATACTTTGTTGCAGTTGGCTATATGTCAACATTGTTGTTGGGGCTTTAAACCTTGTCTTTTTCTTTTTGATTTCTTATGCATGACTTGTTTAATACTCCGAAGTGAACTTAAGTGCTTATTACTTAAAATAGTTAAAAACTTAAAGAGTTTATAGTAAGCTAGCAAATTTAAATATTATTTTAAATTTTTCTGTTTTTCAAATTATAATTGGGCTATAAAAGAAATACAGAAAAACACCAAATACTCGTAAATTACATATAGATAGGTTATTGATCTCTATGTAAATGCTTTTATGTTTGTCTACAAATAATTTATGAAAAAAAAATTTTTCTTTCGTCAAATCAACAGCAGTTTATATACGAATATTTGAACTGAATTGATTTTATACTTAAGTCAGCAAAAACTGAAATCAGAGCTAGTTTGGCAAACTCATTTACTGTAGTTGTTAAAATTAGCATCATCCAAAATACATTCACATCAATCGTACAGACACATTCATGCTTACACATATTTACAGGTTGAGAAATTGGCCTTGAAACATGGATTTTTGATTGTAGATTTTGGATTTTGATTCGCTGCTCGCTAATTGTCTGAAAATTGTAGATGCATAGCTTTCATTATGTACCTATTAATTACAAAGAAAACAAAGTGCCACAAAAATAAAACTCGTTTTCTCAGACACAAAACTTTTGCGAATTTCGTTGATGATGCAAAATGAACGCGAAGGTCGAGCACGGTGCGTACGCGTGAGACGAGAAGAAGACCACGGAAAAAGAAAATAAAAATATTAAAAATTTTAATACATATGTATATGTATGCAAATCGAGTTTCGTCTTTTATTATACGGCCGAGCCAGCCAACAGCTCTTGCGTCATACTTTTCATTTCGTTTCGGACCTAGAACGCGTTATGCAAATCAATAATTAGGAGTCGACAAACTAGCCATTAGCATAAGTTTTAGCATATATATACGAGCTGAGCTAGCTAGCTAGAAACTAAAAGTTGTTATTTTTGACTGCGATCCGGATTGAATAATTTATAACTTTCTTTGCATTTCATTGGTGTTGAGATAGGTTTTTTTTGTTTATTTTCAAATTTATTTATATCGTGGTCAGGGAGCAACTCTTCTGCATAGAATTTTAGTTTTGATTTGTTTTCATTGTATCAGCTAAAAGTAGTCGTGGCTGGCCCAATAAAATATATATATTTATTGTTCGGACCGAAGTCGTACATTGATCTAGGCAAGTTAAATGATTTGCGCTAATAGAACAAAGTATAGCAAAGCCAAGTAGCAATGCTCGACTAAGAGCCTAGAATCTAAACAGACATTAATTAAATATATATTTTATGACTAAGGAATATATAATGCACACCTTAGGGAAAGATAGAATTATAAGATACAACTAACACCAGTTATGTTTAAGTGATACATTGATGTGAAGACTCTGTTCAGCAGATCTTAAGGCTGGACGTGTTGAAGCCATCTCCTGTTCTGGAGCTTGATCTTTGAACTGCTGTACCTAGTCGTCTCTCTCGAGTTTTTTTTGCCACCTCTTGAATTTTGAGAACCTTGAGGGCTTGTTCGAGTTGCTTGGCTGTCGTTCCACATATCTGGATAGATAGATCTGGATAGGAGTTAGGAGGCTCTTGTATATACGGACGTTATTATCTGAAGGAAGAATGGGCCCAAAGTATTTGTATGCGGATGGATGATTCAGAACTTTTCCTTTCGACTAACCTCATCATTGATAATCACGTTCCACTTCTTAGCACAATTCTGAGTATTTTTGGAGAGCGCTCGTGGCCTGTATGTAGTATGCAATTGCCTTTTGTGAGCACTTTGATCCCTTCAGCGTAGCTCTCAATCGAAGTTGGTAACGTTGGCATACATGCAGTAAAAATAGAGTGCAATGTGGGGCCAAGGAATTTTGGAATTTTAATGTTGAGAAGTCTGTTAAGTATGAATCTCTCCATAATTACGAACGGAAAGGAGAAGGCTCAAAAGTATAAAAAAAACGAAAATCAAATGATGACATAAAGGCTTTTTACTCTGAATTCCTATCTTCAGTGGGCATAGGTATTAATAATATATATGTATACGTATGTTAACATTTTATAAATGATTACCATATATATGTATGTATGTTCTTATGTTATGCATTAGTAAGCCATCAGATATTGCTATATATTTTTAATTTCCGTTCACATGTAAGCGTTATTTAAAACAATAAATTAATTAATTAGATTGAAAAGCAAGGTATTAGCATAGCTTTTAGTTATTCAACAGTTTAGTCAACTCTTATTGCACTGATTGGCTATTGATATATTTCCATAGCATGCTCAAGGGAAACACTTTTCGATATATAATTGCTTTCTTTTTTTTCGATGTTTTTTAAGATGTTTTATTTTTTTTTTGTTTTTTCTTTTTCATATTCCATTGCGAGCTGTTTGTGGGGTCTACGAAACTAGCTTGACGATGGGATGATAGCCCGTTTCGTCGGCCGTGAAGCTAAGCTCGTATTTCTTGCCATCGGGCGTCGTCCAGCTGCTGGAGCCGGTAACTGTGATCACGCCCTCGGATTCGCCAGTGATCGGCTTCAGCACGCCCTCCTCGCTGCGTACGATGCCGTTGCTCGTCTCATAGCTGCCAAGTGGAAGGATCTGTATCTATCTAACTCCAAAGTACACAATCTGAACTCACTTGAAAGAGTATTTGTCAATGCCGTTGTTTTCCGACTCCAGTCGAAGAACCTCTGCATTCTCATCTGGCCGGGGTAGTGCGAGAACGCCACTACCCACTAGGCAGACGACCACGAAAAACAGAGTATAGCCTTGCATGTTAGGTTACCACTGGACTGCACTTTACTAACCCACTAACCGTCACGCTGTTTGCTTTTATATCAAATTCTCGCTGCTAACAAAGTTCTAAACATATCCTAGCCGTCAGCAAAACAATAATAATAAAAAAATAAAAACAGCACCTCACACTAAGTAAACAAATTAATGAAAAAATTCAATAAAATACTTTTTAATTACAGATTAACACATTTGCAAGCAAAATAAAAGTCATTTGTTGCCATTTCTCAAATGTTAAAAAAAACAAAAAATATAAAAACGTCAAGATGAAGCTAAATCAAAGTATCACTGATCTGTCATTATTTAGCTGTGATAAATTTGCTGCGAAGTGCATATCGAGAGTCGAGAATTTGATTAACTTTGATTTTCTACGATCTACTGAAGCTTAGCATGACATAAGCTCAATTAGTTAATCTGCATTGCAACTACATTTTACTACTACTTTATTTAAAATACATTGAAACATTTTCTGAAATTTATAAACAATTTTTAAAAAAATCAGCTTGAAATTTCATTAATATTTACTAAGCAAAGCATAGCCAGCAGAGTTTACTCGACTCAACGTTGACTTAGATATGAAAATTTCAAATCACTCTCTAGTACCACACCTCTGTCTATGTCTATGACCTATGTCAAGTTCTAAGAGTAAGCAAAATGTTCATTCTGTAAGCAATTTGCTTTTAACTTCAAGCAAAGCTGACTGGATACTCTACTCAACAGAGCCATATGTATAAGTCTTTCTTTTAGAGGCTTACACCTTTGAGATGGCAACACTGCTTTCTTTGACAACCCATTTAGTAGCTTATAGTAGATTTTTATTGGGCATGGCTTGACATTTCATTTAGACAAACTCATTTATATTTGAGTAACGTTTGCAAATTGTTGCAATTTGTTATCAACATAATAGTTCTGTTTATCAAACCTATTGCGCACTTCGTTAAATGAGTAGTTAAATTAGTTTTAGGTAAATGAGTATAACGTAAATAGGCTTTGTTTTGTCCAAACATCATATCCACAGAAAATTAGTGTTTGCTGCACTTTAAGGGCTGGCGACGGAGGCATTGTTCATTGAGATCTGTTCGAGTTTGTGCCTCGTGGCAACCACATAGCCAAAATCATATATAAACATTAATGTCATACAATTTTCCATCTAATAAATTTAAATTAATTAATATTAAAAATATATTGCTTTATTTTATTATGATTTAAAGTTGAGTTACTCCCATATTAACGCTTTAAATAACTTGTAGACCAGGTCTATGGCTATTTCTAGACCTATGTCAAGATCTAAAAGCATTGTCAATATTCTGTCTGTGTAAGGTCTATCAGTAATTTGTTCATTTTTAGCATTTTATTTTAAACTGTTTTATTTTATGGAGAAACTATTGATTTTTATTGGAGGCTTTGGCGTTTAGTTGTGTGGCAAGTGTTCGCCCTGTGGCTGGAAGCCGTTCTCGTCGGCAATATAGTTGAGCGAGTAGGTCTGGCCATCGGCCGCCACCCAGCTGATGGTACCGCGCACACTGAGCGCTTCCTGTTCGGTGCCGACATTCTTCAGCTCTCCCTGCTCCTGACGTGAGACTCCATCGCTTGTCTCATAGCTGCAAAAAGAGAATTCGTATTATACCATATTCTGTTCATATCCTTTTATGTGTATACGCACGCGAAATTGTAGCCGCCGACGCCGATGTTATCATTATCGTAGCGCAACACCTGGGCCGACTTCGAGTCATCCAAAGGCGCCGCGAAGCAGCTAGATACGAGCACAAAGGCGCAGAGGACAAAGGCACAAGCACTGATGGTATGCATTTTAAAAATTTCAATTTGGGCTTTAGCTTGATTGTTCAAGAATTCACGACGCGCTACCAAAGCTGTCACGGTTAGAGGCAAACGAATAATGTGGCGTCCGCTAATGAGATCGGCAGGTATTTATAGTGGCTCGTCTGACAGAAACCAGAGTGCACCTATACTACCACACACACAAGCACACGAGCAGACATAAGATAAGGTAGCCATAACATTCGCCTTTAACGCACACACAAGTGGCTATGCTAATGAGTGTGCGTGTGTGTGCGTGTTTTTATGTGTGCCTAAAGCTTTTAATTGAACAAGCCACAAAACCCATTAAACATTTGATGTAGACTCAAATCTCATTTCAATTGGCCATCAAGAGTCTCCTCTGCCACTGCCCAATCATGATCAACATCAATGCGCAATGAATAAGTGATAATGAAATGTGCTAGCAAATATTTGCACAGTCGCGCGTGTTTGGCTAACTATGGCAATAGGTCAACGACTGAATTTACTTACAGAAAAATCCCAAAAATAAAAAATTAAAAATTAATGAAACAAAATTTATGAAATATATATAAACATTGTAGTTAGCTTAATTGCAGCTTAATTTAGGAAGCTTAGCCTTAGCAGGAAACAGTTGATATCGTACACAAAGAAGATATTATCATAACTAGCTAATAGATAAGATCTAGTTTTGTCCAGGGCCAAGCTCTTGTGAAACTTAGCTTAGGCATATAATATAAAGAAAAAAATAGTTTATTATATGCGAAAAATATATAAATATATAATATATAATATATTTTTTATAAATATATATTTTTTATTGTGATTAGGCAACACTTGACTGATTAATAAAAAAAAATCAGATAAAATATTATAAATTTTCTTGTCTGCCACGAATAACATAAAATTTTATGATATTTTTTATCAGCTTAATGTCAAGCAGCCTTCAGAGATATATATAAAAATACATATAAAATGTATATCAATTCTTCTAAGTTTTTTTTCTCTGATAATTTTTAATGTATTTCTGAAAACTTTTAGCATGCATAGAACTTAATCGTAATTTACAGTCATATATATGTATATACATCAGCAGGTGACACAATTTTTATAAAGTTGACCTTAAAAAAAGCCCAAGATATAGAGGCTGCATTGCAATCTGTTGACTGCGACGGGCGGGGGCGAGCATAACTTGTTAACTGAAGAAGCGACACGAGATTCAAGCAACAGCTCGATGTGTATCTGTGTGTTGATGACCTTAGTCAATAAAACAAAAGCAAAAGAAACAGAAGACGAAGAAGAAGAAGAAAACACGAATAGGCGGCTGTAACTGCTGGTTGAACAGGGCGTATGCGTAATGTGATGTAGCACCTTCAACAGTGGCTGCTGCTGCTGTCCATCTCTCTGGCCGTCTGCCGCTCCCTGGGCTGGTCATCAATCAGCTTTTGGTCGTCCACGTTACGTACAAACGTAACTCTCGACAATGTTTGATTGTTTTGCAGTTAACGATTGATAAATGAGGCGTTCGGCCAAAAGATGCGCCGCGCGTTAATTGCCCAACAATGAGCTGCTGGGCCCCAGCTGCACTAGTTTGCCCTTTAGCTCAAGCTGACTCTGGTTTTTGCTGTTTTTTTATTTTTTTATTTTTATATTATTTTCTTAGCTGCTGTTGCCGTGCAGTTCTCACTTTCGTTGCCGTCTTTGTTAAAGCGTGTTTATTGAACCGGTTCCGGCCCTGGCCAGCTGACTCTGTTAACGCAACGGCCATAACTGTCGGAGCAACGGGTTTACTTAAGTATGCCCTCAAACAGGGGCCTTTTCACTATGCTAACTAGTTTGACCCACGGCAATCTGCGCTTGCCATTGGCATATACAACTTATATATCAGATAGAGATCATACAGATTCTAAAGCATATATAGTGAATGCTGCACACCATATGACATTTATTGATCATAAGGAACAGCTCTATCATATGAAAAAGATCTCATGTAACCCTGCAAAAAATTAAATTATATATAATATATATATAAAAATGCTATAGATCATATAGGACATACTGATCATAGATGCTTGATCACATATGTATTATGTTTGCCTATAGATCAGAAACTCTTCTTTAAGCATACATAGATCATTATCTGACTAACTGCTATTGCCTATAGGTATGTGATCTATTAGTGATCTATATGATCTACAGCTTATTATAGGCATTATCAGTCAACCTAGTTCCAAGCATATCTAAAACTAGTGTATTTAGCCCGCGTCTTGACGAAGTAAAATAATATTTTAAATGCATACACATACATATATTTCATACAAAGCCATATGCTAATTTAATGCTGTGTTAGAATTAATTTAACGTATGAAAATTGATGCGCAGAGCTTATCAGAAATCGACAATCAATACGATATACAAATATATATATATATATATATATATATATATATATATATATACATATATTTATATATATATATATAAATATTTATGGTCATCTTTTAACATTTAACACATGAGATCAGTGATCAGATTTTAGAGGCGGCTCAGTCTTGGCTTGTGGCTGAAAGCCATTCTCGTCCGCCAGATAGCTGAGCTCGTAATGGACGCCATTGGGCTCCACCCAGTGGATGCTGCCTTGTACCGCAATGGCCTCCAAGTCGGTGCCAGCATGCTTCAGCTCGGCCGTCTCCTGTCGCGATATGCCGTCGATCGTCTCGTAACTAATGCGAAACACACTTGCTTAGTTTATTTACTTATTGCTTGCAGTGACATCTGAACACCTACTAGAAGGCATAGCCATTTCCGTTCTCAAACTTCAGCATATGAGCCTTGGTCTTGCTGCCACTGGGAGCCGCTTCCACGTTGCAACATATAGAGATGGCCAGCAGAATGATAAGGCCGAGAATCTGGGGTCGGATCATAGCTGGCAACGTTTCCAACTCTACTGCATCGCTGTGTTCGAGCGACTAAAATTTAGCATTGCAAAAATATATATTTTTTGAATATTAATAACAGATCGAAAAACAAAACGAGATCAAATTAATTTGATGCAAATTGCATTAAATTTAGGACTCAACTTATACTTGTATAAAAAACTGGAGCTATTTTTAAAATTAAGTCGACCGTTCATCTAAAGTATATGTATATATATAGATATATATATAAATATAGAGATGTATATATATGCTGGCTTAAGGATTTGTCTTCAGCTTGAGCTTTCTATTCTCATAGATACATATTTTTATTTAACATTTTCTGCATAACCAAAAAACATTTCGAATTTGTTTTGCAGTCGATTTGTTAGTTCGGTAAATTGATTCAGACAGACGAACAACAAACGTAGATGCCAAGCGCAAACAAGCTCTTCAAATGCCAAATGTATGTAGATAAGATAATCAACGCTGAAATTTCAGAGATTTGTTTTTAAAGATTTGAGCATTTCACTTGCACTTGAGCCAAATACATGTGACCCAGTTAGCAGGCAATGATTATATCTATATAGCTCTCCGTCATTGGCTATCCCAATTCACGCCTAGCTGAGACTCGCTGGCAAAAAAAGACAAAAAGTTGGGTGAGGTCTGGCTGCAATCAATCAAAGCCAATTGGCAAAAGACAAGCCAAGTTAAGTAATAAAGGTTGGCCACAGGAAAACGGGTTTAGCCACATGTATATGCGAGTACGAATGCGAGTACATAACTACCTTTTGTATATCTGGATTTTACTACATTTGCCTTTATTTTCTTTTCCCTTTGTCTTTCGTTTCTTTTGATTTTTTGGCAATCTTTCGGCAGGAGTCTGGCTATAAATTGGGCCCTGCTTTTAAGTTTGGCATGCATTGACTGCAAGCTCCTTGTGCGCACCACAACACAAACCAACCACCAACAGCCAACCACCAATCAGCAAGATGAAATACTCGTACGCCTTTGCCGCTGCTCTCGTTTGCCTGGCCTGCGTTTCGGTGCAGGCAGCCCCGCCCGCAGCTCAGCAAGAGGCTCAGGTGCTGCGCTACGATTCCGATGTGCAGCCGGAGAGCTATAAGTTTAGGTGCGTATCGCTTGTACAGCGCGGACTGTGTCAAGGTCAACAAAATTAAAACTGGTTTCTCTTCCTCACTGGTCCACTGCGTTCATCTTCGACGAAACAGCGTGGAGACAACCGACGGCAAGTCACATCAGGAGGAGGGTCAGCTGAAGAACGTGGGCACCGACCACGAGGCAATCGCTGTGCGTGGCTTCTACAGCTACGTGGGAGACGACGGCCAGACCTATACACTCAAGTATGTGGCCGATGAGAATGGCTTCCAGCCAGAAGGCGATCATTTGCCCCGTGCCGTTCAATAAACACACACAGCGCACAGCACACATCAGACGGCGTCCAGTCATGCAACATCCATATGTTAACTAGGTCTAAGATCAAACAAAATCATTTCTCAAGCAAATCAAACAAACAAACAGCATTAGCAAACTCATTGTCATATTGAATAAAATGCCATCAGTTTTAACTTCCATCTCAATTAGCTGTGTTTTGAAAGCGGAATTGCTGTCCAGATTGACTGACTCCTTGATCAATCAGATGCTCAGTTGAAACTCTTTTTAATTAATATTTCATATTATTTATTATTATTTCGTTTTATTATTTGCAAATTTTCAAATGTGTTGCTCTGATTGACTATTTAAGGATTGAGAGAACGCCATTCTTTAGATACATTATATAGCTACATATGTACTATATATAAACTGTTAATCTTCACTGACTGGCTGACGGATTGATGATTGGCTACTGACTGATTTCATTAGTTATACAAATAAAAGTACAAACAACATTTATAAAACAATCAATTTATTTCAAATTCAAATTCGCTTTTTAGGCTACGGGCAAATGAGCACCCTGTGGCTGGAAACCGTTCTCATCGGCAATGTAGTTAACCTCGTACGTCACACCATCGTCATCAACAAAGGAGTACGAACCCTTAACGGAGAATGCCTCATTCTCTGTGCCAATGTCCTTAAGTTGACCTTCGGACTCTTCCTTAACGCCATTACTTAACACCAATCTGTATTAGGGAAAGTTAAGGATCAGCAAATGCTTAAGGATTCTCACCATGTGCATTACTTACTTGGCTTTGAAACCATCAGCCTGAACATCTGATTTCTGCTCCACAACTGAAACGTCAGCAGCAGGAGGGGCGGCGAGGGCCAGGGCGAAGAGAGCGACGAAGACGATGAGGAACTTCATGTTTTAGCAGATGTGTAGTGCGTTTGAGATTTCAAAGGTAACTATAAGTATCAACATAGATTCGCGATGTATTTATAGGTAAAATGGATTTGTATTCACAAAAGCAAAATAAATATTGAAGAATTTAAAATTATGCATAGAAATTAATTTATGCTTAGCTTCGGTAGAAAATCATCATACAAACTAGATTAACTGGCAGAAACCATGCAATCAGATACGCCTTATTATCATAATAATATAACCGGTAAAAACTAAATTCATACATGTCTATACGACTTAATTGAGCCTAGTTCTAGACGGGTTACAGTCTAAAAATAGTAGGTCAGTCTGTCAGCTAATGTCTTATTGTCCACGATGAGACGTACTGAGCTAGCTCATCAGAGATTTCAAATCAATCGAAAAATGTCTCAAGATACTGGCTGCCTGCTGCCACGCTGACGATAAATACCATGCAACGTATTGGTATAGATGAAGCAAATCCACGTTGCAGCTTGCAACTAGAGCTCTTTCAGGAAAGCAAGGGATACTCTTAAGATTGCCACGATGCTTTTCAATATCCAGTTATATAGATATCTGTCTGGCACGGTGGCGTCGGGCATCATGTCAGTGTGAAGAAGAAGAGACCAGTGAATGTTGCAGTAGTCAAAGAAAAGTTATTCGGAGCATCGAGGATACTTTGAAATGCAGTTAGGTCTTTCACCTTTCACGTCACATACAGGAATATGCTCAAGATGCAATGGCATATGCTCCTGATTGCAATCCAACTTGGGATGCGATGAGCATGGGCAGAACACAGCTATCAAAACATCTTATACTACACTGATTGACTGCCTGATAAGCTAACTAGAGTACAAGCTAGTTAAGTAGGTAAAAATGCCAAATAGTTGATGAAAAAATCCATTTATTTAAAGTTCATGTCCCTTTTTAGACAATCGGAAGGTGCGCACCCTGTGGCTGGAAACCATTCTCATCGGCAGTGTAGGTTACAGTGTATACCTGACCATCAGGAGCAACATAGCTGAACGAGCCTTTGACTGAAATTGCCTCATGTTCTGTGCCTGCGTTCTTAAGTTCACCTTGGGACTCTGCCTTAGATCCATCAGTCAACGCCACTCTGTATTAAGCAGAGCTAAAGGTCAGCAAATGCTTAAGGACTCCCTCAATGCGCATTACTTACGAGTTCTTGAAACCATTAGGCTGGACATCAGATTCCTGGTGCACAATTTCAACATCTGTGGGGGCAGCCAATGCCAGAGCGAACAGAGCAACGAAGACAATGAGGAACTTCATGTCGAGATAGATTTGTAGCTTGTTTGAGATTTCAAAGGTAACTGTAACTAATAACACAGATTGGCTAGGTATTTATAACAAAATTAGGTAATAACCCGAAAAAATGAAACAATACGATTTGAAAACAAAACTGCATTCACGCAAACTAGATAAACTGGACAAAGCATGCAACCAGATATGCCTTATTAACATAAAAATATAACCAGTAAAAATGAAAGTAGAATTTACTTATCGAACTTGGCTGAGCATCATAGTTAAATAATAATAATTAGAGCTAATTAGCATATGTTATTAGGTCAATTTATTGACAAATAAAGATGTTAGTAAATGTATTATTAATAGTTAGACAAGTGTAATGCGAACGACAAACTCATTAGAGATTACAAATTGGAAAGCATTCAAGATTCTAGTACTGGCAGGAATACCCCTAATGAATTTCAGCTAGAGAACAGAGTCACAAATCAAACATTGATAACCAGGATTTGACCTTTTCAGCGGCTAAGCAAGCGAACATCTCTTTGAACAATGCATATTTTATGAATAAATAATTTATATTTTATACGTGAAACTTGAAATAAGACAGAACAAAATTAAAAGAAAACCAATAATCAACTGAAATAAAGCACAAAAAAAAGAATTAGAAATATATGATTAAAAACAAAAACATGTTTTTAAAAATTTTAAAGGTAAATCAAACGCTTAACTTAGTATTTTATAAGATGAGCTAAAATATATAATTTCTAAATCGTATTTATTGGCTTTGACACAGATTTCAATTACCAACGAAGATTGCTTGTAAAATTGTTGTTTTATTTCCGGTAGAGCTAAGAGCTATTGGAAAACGATTAATATATTTAAATATATATATATATATATATATATATATATATATATATATATATATATATATATATATATATATATATATGAATATTTCTTTGGTAGACAACACTTGTTTTCATTGAGCTTTACTGCTGTAGGGTAAATGCGCGTTGCCCGTGTGGAGATATACATATCTATCTGAAATATGTCCAAAATGAAATTGAAGCTTTTTGATTGATTTACGAAAAATGCAAATTCGTCGCAACGATAATGATTATCGAGTTGATTATGATAAACGTGGCATATCATAATGATCTCTGTGATATTTCCTATGAACATCTTTGTTTTGTTTGCCTTAGAAGTTTTTGTTATTATCGATTATTGTTGTTGTTGTTTAAGCTCAGCTTTGTTTTTTTTTTTTTTTTTTGCGTTTCACACGCAGACTAGAGAGACCTGTTGGTACGTTTTCAAGCCAATTTGTTAGCTGATGCGCTTGAGCTGTGTAATTAGTCATTTTTATTTATTTTTTATCATCGGTTTTTGGACAAAACTTTTCTTCATTTATATCGTATTGTAGTCATTTATTTGGTGGACACTCAGCATCAGCTATTTTGGGTATAAAAAGCCCGTGGACAGCCGTTGTAGACATCACAAGTCAACTACAGTTCACAGTCCGTAGTTCGCGTTCGCAATTCAAAGTCAAACAATATGAAATATACAATCGCTATTGTCTTCGCCGCCATCCTGGCCGTCGTTCTGGCTGCTCCCCTGGATAATAGCCAGCAAGCACAGATTGTGCGCCTGCAGTCCGATGTCCAGCCCGGTGGCTACAAGTTTGGGTAAGCTGAGAGCTCATAGTCGCCAGCCATTATTCGATTCTCTAAACACATATCCTGCTCTCTCAAAAGCTGGGAGACCAGCGATGGCCAGAAGCACGATGAGGAGGGCACTCTGAACAACGCCGGCAGTGAGAACGAATCGATCGCTGTCCGTGGCTCCTACTCCTTTACCGCTGACGACGGCCAGGTCTACACTGTGAACTATGTGGCCGATGAGAATGGCTTCCAGCCCGAGGGCGCTCACTTGCCCAATGTGCCAATTAGCCACTAAATTACCTACATTTCATTACACAAGAGCTGTTCTTACTTCCTAGAAGTTGAATTTATATATTTTATTTAATAAAAATGGTATAATGCAAGCATACACATAAGGACATAGTTTCTGCTCGCAGGATTTCTAAAGGAATGGAAATGGAAAGGCATACAATATGCTGAAATTTGTATAAAACAGTTCGACTGCTCTAATCTCGAGAGGCTTTTCAGTCACTCCAATAATTGTTTTCTACATACATTACAAACAACATATGAGCAGACATATATTACAACAACAAAAAATGATATTTGAATAGGCTTAGAATAGGCTTTAGATAGGTCTTTCTTAGTCAGAGTGTGTTGATGCCATAGCTAAAGTTGAAGTTTCTAACTTGTAGTGATAATATAGAAATGATTACAGCATACCGTCATATACACTTCAAGCTTTTGTGCACAGACGGACAGACAGTCGGAGGAATGTATGTGACTATATCGATTCAGCTTGTCATTCATCATCAGCTGTGACATCATGATCGTCAATATCGTTTCGATTATTATTGCCATCAGCATTGACTTCATCAATATCTTCATTAGGAAATGAAAGGTGGACAGAAGAAGGGTAAAGACAAGAGTAGAGCAAATGTGTGACAGCTTGGAAAAGAGTCTGTGACGTTGAGGCGGAAATAGTGCGACCCGGACGGAGAAACACAAATGGTAGTGATAAGCTAGAACATATACAAAGACTCCCACCTTGAAGGTTAAGTAAATGTGAGATAAGTCATGGGGCCAGAATAGAAAGCAGTCCAAGAAAAAGGAGGTTTCCTATTTGGTAAGCAGAAATGCCGTCCAACAAACCGGTCACCGGAGTGACGACCCGACTGCTAATGTATGAAGCATTTTTACCTGCCTCAACCACAAAAAAAAAAATAAAATCCTCATTATCGCCATCATAATCATGCTGATCATTATAACCATCGGCAGCCATAATACATACATATATATATAAATATAAATATCATGTTGTTTGCCAAGAAGAATCTGCTAATAGATAGACATAGTTTATTTCAAGTTGAAATGAAAATCGTAACTATTAGCGTAGACAATTTTTATATATTTTGTAAACTTGTTTTTTTTTTTTCGACAACTTCCACCTTTCTCACTAGATGTCTCCACTTAAAAAGACTTAAGTATATTGATTATTTGTACAACATTATATTTACTTAATCTACACTTCTAGTTTAACTAATATTCAACAAGATCAAAAACTCTACAAGCCAGTTTGAGCTCAGTTAATCAATAATCAGCATTGCAAATCTGTATTCTTCAAACCAATATTATGCAAATAGTTTTTGAAGCTCATTTTGTCAAACATCTATGTATATATAAAATATATAAATACATATTTCTTATGTATGCGCTTCTTAAACTATGAATTTTTGACCAACTGTTGGCCAATTTGCTGTCCACGACTATCAGTTTATTTACTATAAATACGAAGGAAGTCTCTCTTATAAATTACGATTACCTTTAATATTCCATTGCATCATTGGCAGTCCCTCTGCAGATGGTTTCAAATACGCTTAAGTGATACACATGGAAAGAGTTCTGTAGCATAAGCTAATGTTTAGGTCTGCCTAATACAGATTCGACAATTCTGATGACACTCAAGTGAAAGCTATAGGGTTCTATGATGGGACTTATTCCGTTGAGGTCAAATCGAAATCGAATTTAAATAAATTGATTACCTTATCAAATTTTTTAGTAAAAATTCTTAGCAAAAGTTTGTTGATATAATCAGTCAGTCAGACGATCACACATTCCAGCAGCTCAATCGGGACATGTATTTTTCACTTTTTGAAAAGTTTAGAAAATAAGTTTAGTTAAAAATCAACCATTTCGACTGGGCATCAATCAGTCAATGAGTCGCATATTTTATTAGTCAGCACAAACAATACTAAAAACTCAAGTCAATCAATCAATCATTCATTCAACCACCACATATGCTGCACACACCCAGTGAGAGCAAACTGATATAGCATTAATAATCAGTCAGTAGCTGACCAATATTTAATCAAATCTAAATATGTAAAACTTCTAGTCTAAAAGACAAATTAAAACAAGATCTATAAATGTATATTTATTTATAAAAACAATAGTATTAAATTAAATTTAATGGTATAAAAGCATAATTGTAATAGTAATGCCAATGATTATGAGCACAATAATGATCATTCTAATGACGATATAGATTTTAATTGACATAGTCACGCCGCTGAATATGGGCGTCAGTTTATGTTGGCTCAAACTATTTTTTAGCACATATATGAACATATTTTAGTACGCATATGGGCATATTTTAGTACACACATGTGCAGGCATGGCTTAGTGTATATAGGCACATATTTTAGTACGTATACGTACATAATTTAGTGCATATGACTTATCATGGAATTATCATCATTGATGATGAAAATGAAAATAATAATATATATTATGTATATATCCATTGATATATTTTATATCTTTTATATATATATAAATTATTTGCTTTGCATTTTTCGGGTTTGGTCTGCATTGAGCAAAGCTTCCAGAGGCGACAATTAACACATATTGGCCTCAACATAGATAACCATGATAACCAAGAAAAAAAACAAAACAAAACAACAAACAATGTTTACATAAAGAAAAAAAATGTGTTAATTTTATTAGCTGCGGCTGTCGCCAGTTGGTATAAAAAGGCGTTCGCATAGCTCAGACCACATAACGTTGTTACCAGCAGTCCAAACATGAAGTTCGCTTTAGCCATCGTCTGCCTCAGCCTGTGCCTGGCCACATCCTTGTCTGTGCCCCTTCCCGATAATGCAGCCCAAATCGTTAACCTAGAGTCTGATGTGAGACCCGATGGCTATGATCTGAAGCTGGAGACAAGCGACGGCACCAAGCGCGAGGAACAGGGAACCCTTACCAATGCTGGCACCGAGGACGAGGCCATCTCTGTGAAGGGCAGCTTCTCCTATGTGGGTGATGATGGCGTCGTCTACGCCGTCAACTATGTGGCCGATCAGAATGGCTTCCAGCCCGAGGGAGCACACATACCGAAACTTTAAATCTAAGTTAATTGTTGTTATAAAATAATAAATAATATATATAAAGCATTTCCCAAAAAAAAAAAACAAAATTATATATATATATATATAATAACGGTATATATCGTATTGTGAATGAGTTGCCCAATTGGCTCCCTGAACTTCAATCGAAAAAAGTTCAAGTAAAGCAACTTACAGTTTAGAGTTTTGTACAGGTCCACGAATTAAATGGAGTATATCAGTTTTTTGGTTTTGCTTAACTTCATTTAAATACTTTGTCTTATTTGTTATTCGCATGTGTAAAAGAAGAAAATCATTCTAGTTCGCTGTGTACTAGAGTCTTGGCTGATAAGATGTAAAACTAGACTTGTGTGTTCCTGTTGAGTTTTCTATGGCGGAGTCATCTGGCTAGTATTAGTCTTATGCATATTATGTCTCCGACCAAGGGTACCTATTTTGTTAGGGTGAAATTTGGATGCGATGTCGTAGACTTGTATTACACATCTCCATATTGGAGCCAGCATACTTTTATTTATAGGTATTTGGTTGTTAGTCTAAGGTTTACTTGAGTTGGGCTTGAGTAAACAAAACATTTTGGATTTGTAACCTCGTCCACATGTTTTCGGAAGGTTAGCCGCTGGTCGAGCGTAAGCTAAAATACTTAAAATTCAGACATAAAATGCTCGTCTTGAGTCTTGAAAGCTGCGCTCATTGAGGGCGTGGCAACAGGTTACCATTTGAGGCTAGAGATTTTAAACATATAAATGCAGGTTCATAGACAATATTTTCCGCAGCTTTAGACTTTGCATCAATATGTTCGCCCTCAACTGATAGCTCAAGAAGTCGATCATTATTCTTTGAACGAGTATTATGCAGTCGATTGCAGCCGAACAGCAATGTTCTTACATGTTCTAATAAAATAATAGACATAAAATTCATAGAGAAATTTTAACTTTAATGCGATTAACAATTACAATGCACGACACAAACTTCACTGACTGACTGACTGACTGGCTGGCTGATTGAATGATTGATTGAATGAATGATTGACTGTTGCACAGCACAAACAACATGGACTCTATATTCCTCTCTCCCGCTCGCTCCCTCTCTCTCTCTTAGTTTCTCCCATTATCCATGTGGCTTACTTGGGCAGGTGCGCGCCCTCCGGCTGGAAACCATTCTCATCGGCCACAAAATTGATTGTATAGGTCTGACCGTCGGGCGCCACCCAGCTGACGGAGCCACGCACCGATAGGGATTCGTTTTCGGTGCCCGCATTGTTCACAACTGCCTCCTCGGTGCGGGTGGTGCCATCGCTCAGCTTGTAGCTGAACTTGTAGCCGCCAATGCCAATGTTATCCGATTCGTATTCCACAACCTCGACGTCGTTCTGCGGACGAGCGGTGCAGCAGGCGGCAGCCAAGAGCAGCAGAGCAGCGACTAGCATCTGTTCAAGGATAGGAAAGGTAACAGTTGATCAGTTATCGTTGATCCTCGATGTGGTTATCGATTAACAGCTATCCATTTACCATTTTCACCATCTTGTCGAGCGTTTTGTGTGTTTGTCTGAACTATTGAGCGTCCAATGATGCCAGTGCCGCATCTTCAGTGCATTTATATAGCTCCCGCACTCTCGCAGAATTTGCTAACGTCATAAGCTTTTGCACAATTGTCTGGCAGAAGACATACATAGACACGGCTCTCGCGGTCGTCCGGTAATGTATTTAATTTACCAACAGTTCACCAATAGCCCCCGGCCGCCAGCCTCAGAAGTCGCTGCGACAAGTAACATTTAAAGCGAATCTTTGAAGCGACATTACCAAATCCGCATTCTGGCTGCACCAACTGCCCGATGCACTTGGCAGAAGCAATCCAATCTAAATATATTCAAATCGAAAACGTTGATTTAAGACTAATAAGAAATGGATATGCTACTCAATGATCAAATTTGTTGTTTTTTTATAATTTTATAGAGAATTTTACTGAGATTCTTGTCGATGAGTCGAAGGTCAATGCTTGGCTTGGCTTTTGCTATAATTTTAATTAAAGCCTGCCCATTTAGATATTAAATATTTCCATCCAACTTTGAGTATAAATACAGCCAGAAATTTCATTTAGAAATTTTATTGTCATATATTTCCAATAAAATATATTAATAATTTTAAAAATTACATTAAAACTTTGATTTTCCAAGAGAATATCAAAAATATATATATTTTACTTTTTTTAAAAAAATGTATAAAACTATAAAAATATTGTATTGAAAAACGTTTTAGCAAAATGCAACTTGGACGAATAACAAGATGCCAAAATAAAAAAAAATTAAGAAGCAATATTATTTTAAGTGTTCTGCTATGATTTATAAAATCACAATATATATTATTTATAATAAATAAATTAATTAAATTATTTATTCCGGTGGTTCCAAGCGTATTAAAAATTCGACTTAAAATTTTTTAAGTGCCCGAATATTAGTTAAATGAATGCGTAAGTAGTTTGTCTTTTGTAGAATATGTAAAGACCATACGAACTGATGGTTTATTGCCCAAGTAACACGATGTTCAATGTATTTGAATGCATAATAATTTCAACTGCGGTTCTGATCGGCGATGGGATGGCTACAGCGTAACAGTTAAGAGGGCCGCAAGTTCACAGCAAGTCCGAAATTCTACAATTTACAATATATATATATATATATATATATATATACAATATATATATACATATATATTTATGAATACATATGCCAGTTAGATGTTAAAGCCACTGGCAAATCGGTAAAAGCTAAAGACTCTAGTTTGACTCTTGACATATGCAACGGCCTTTGCAGCCAGCTTCGATTGATGTATTGCAATTGCAGCTCTCTCACATGTATGTGTGTGTATGTGTGTATGAGCATTCCACCTTCGTTGACCGCTACAGCAACAGCGGCTGTTGCAGCAGCACAAACAGAAGAAGAAGCTACAAATTGGCAAGCCAGTCAATCGAGTTTTCGACTATGTCGACCTTTTATATACAATACCCAAAACTTCGGACTGCCTCTGAACTGTTGATCTATACACAGGACATTCTCCAGCTGACATTGACCATAAGATATGTGCGTATATAATTAATATATATTCCACTCATGTTCAAAAATAAAATTGAAGTTAATATAAGGAAGTAAACCAAATGACCTTCCGCTGTTTGTGTTTCTAATATCAATATCAATAACTTTTAGACTAGATTAATTTTCACCGACTGATTGATTGATTGACTGTTTGGTTGATTGACTAAAAGATGTCTGTTTCAAGAAAATATTGCTTCTGTCGAATAAAAACACCAAGAAATTTGATAAACCACTCAATTTATTCAAGTTCGATTTCACTTAGGCAGTTGGTGCACCAGGCGCAGTTTCAATTATTGGGTAGTTACCATTCTCATCTGGAGTGGTGGAAATAGTGTATTTCGGGCCGTCTTGCTCTGTCTTAACTAGAGATTCAGAAAACTTGAAACTGCATTACGGAAAGTCAAAGATCAGCATATGGTTAAAGACTCTCAATTCGTATCACTTACTGGCTGATTATTTCCTCAGGTTCTGGCGCACTCTCAATATCAGTCTCATAATTTTCGGCCAATGCCAGGGCAAAGAGAGCAACGAAGATGATAAGAAACTTCATGCTTAGATAGGTGTGTAGCGCGTTTGGGATATCAACGGTAATTGTGGCTTATAGGAGAGACTGCCTGGATTTTTATAGCAAATGGGCTGATAGTCGATTACGTGGACAACAGACTAACTAGTTTGACCAAAAATTCACGATTTAAAATTCACATATAAAATATGTATAAATTGAAATATATATTGTTGTGTGGCAAAATGAGATTCAATAATAATTTTATGTTTATGCAAATTGCACGTGCCTCTGATCTTCATTTAGCCAATGTCCATTTTATTTTTAATATTGTGGAGAAAATTGTATCGCTTAACAGCAATCAATCTGTCCTCGTTGACAGTTTCTGCTCTTAATTTCACTGATCCTATATATCTATAAATATAGATACAACTGCTAAGATGTGCTAAGATTAAGTTGCTCGCATCTTCAAGGTCATCCAAGCAGCCAGATCTTGGCCAGACTTTGGTCAGCAGAAACGCAGAGAGACATCTGGACGGATGGTGTTTCGGTTACCGGTTCTTCGACAGCTCGATGGCATCTGCTGCTTCTTTTAATTTTCGTATTTTTTTTATTTGGTTTTTTTTTTGTATTTTTTCTTTTACTTCTTATTTTGGTATAGCTTTACCCACGTCGACATGGAGGGGCCAGCTAAATTAGCACTTGAGCGTTAATGGCAATGTCTTAAAGCCAAGTTTTGTTTAATTTTCCCTCGTCTAAGCCGTTTGTCCCTCTTCGTTCTAGCCCATCTGAATAACTTTGTATGCGTATTGCAATTTCAATATGCAAATGTCACGCTCTGTCATCCAAACTTTTTATGAGTTCTTTTATTTTTTTAATTACATAATTCGCCGATTTAAAAAAAATAAAAAAATGCATTTAAATTAAACGAAGACTGTGTTGAAGCATTGTTGACTTTTTGCATACTTCCAGTCAGAGGCTTCACTTCATGGACACGGATAGTAAGGAAGTATATACATACATATATATAATTATTTATGCATTATATATAATATATATATCCTTATATAAGTGACTTATTCTTATATATGGTATATGATAAATAAATATGTATCGGGCATATAAACTCTATGGCAGCATTTAGAGTGAAGCCGGAGGCATCGACTTGATTTCTTAGATTAGTCAATACAGTTTTAACGAGGCTCGATAGTAAATTTGCTTTTCCCGAAAACATACAAGAATATGTGAATCTATGTATATTTTGTTGCCACAATTTATGCACTTAAAGGTTTTCATTTGCCCATCACAAAAGTATGTAGCAGCATTTTAAAAATTGTGAAAAGAAGCGACAAAGTATGCATTGGTTTTTTATAAAAAACTATAAAAAATAAGCTTAAAAAAATAATAAAAAAAAGACAATATTGCAATAAAAACAGGTAATAAAACTCTAGTCCGCAATGCCCGACTAGACAATATCATCAGCAACGAGTAGAGCTCCATTCATTATACGCTTGTTTTATACATGCACACACACACACACATACACCCACTTCATTGTTAAATAATTTTGGTTCTAGATGACCTTTCTCAATGAAATGTAACAGCCAAATCTCATCTATCTATAAAATCATATCTATCCTCTAGTATCTAGTATTTGAAAGAGGTTTTCTGCATATTGTAGGGAAACAGTGGGAGGCAGCTATAATGTTAAGTATAAAAGCCTCAATATTCATTATAGCAACAATAAAGTTAAGCTTTCATCTCTTGCCCACCTTGAATGAATTCATTGTGTAATAAATTATAGTAAATTCATAAGAAATCTGTGGGGCGTGGCTCAATATTGAGTGAGTGTGTACTTTTTATTCATAACTTAAGAAATTATATCAGTTGAGATATCTTCCAGGCAAATGCCAAGCCCATAAAAGATGTGAAATTAATTGAAAATCTGGGCTTTATTAACATTACCATTAACTTGCGCAACTATTCCATCTAATCAGATTTTGTTTGGCTCCAAGCTAAAAAGTAGGGTATATTTAATTGAAGTTTATGGCTTGAACTAAATTTTATTTTTTATGAATCAATATTTTGTTGAAATGCATTTTGTAATGATGAATTAAAATTTGTAGTTAAAAACGATATAAACTTAACAAATATTAACAAACAAAATTGGGACAAAATCGGAGACTGCTCAGGCGCCTCTATTCTCGCTTGCTCTTAACCAGCTAACGATGAGAGCGACTTAGGCGAGAGCTTGCGATTCTTAAAGCCCGAAGGTCGTGAGGGTCTCGAGTTGCGAGTATAACTATTGGCGTTCATTAATTCCTCGGGCGAGGAATAAGCGTTGATTAGCTCGCCCACCTCATCGCGATGCGTGCCATTGGGCAATGTGTAACTGAAAGGCCAGTAAATTAAATTAACTCTCTCTCTCTCTCTTTCTCCTTTCTCTGTTTAGATATCGTAGTTCATCTTACCCAAATACGTAGCCCTGTTGAGTGGGTATATAGCTGAATTGGTCGATAACGAGATCGCCCAACTGTATTTCCAGCACAGTGCCAGGCGGATATGAAGCACTAACTCCATTCTCTGTGCCCCAAAGAATGTTGCCTATGAAGAGCAACAGCAGACAGCTACTAGCCATTTTCAGTTGGGCGCCCATTGTGATCAATAGTTGCAACCGTCTTCTGTCGCAGCTGGCGGTGAATTGATGCTGCCCATGGAAGGGGCAAACGATGTGGCCACAAAGCCAACATTTCAAATTGTCTGCTCAATAAAGCGCTGAGTAAGGCCCAAGCTGCTGGCAACACGCGATTGCTTCACATCCATTTGCATAAGGAAAGCAGCAAAAGAAAAAAGCTAAAAACATTGATCGGGTGCTATCGGCTGCATAATACTCGTTTGCAGTGCACAAACAGTTGCTCCATTTATGGTAAGTCTCTTGAGAAAATGTTGACCTATAAATTTGGGGGGTGTAGATACAAAGCCTTGAGAGATATTTTAGTTCAGTAGGTTCTTTCAAGAAACAGCCGGACAGACAGTCGGAAAGAGTCGAACGGACAGTCGAACGGTCACACTCACGCACAGCAAGACATACTTTGCACAAAGCCAATATACTCTGTCATTTCGTGAGCGAGCATACACCAGGCAACACGCAGCGTGATGAGCACAAAAAGTTGATAGAAAACCATTTAAAAAGCAAAACACATCAAGGAAAAGCTCAAATGCCCTGACATATTTGAAGAGGGAATTTATATAGTAATAAAAACTGTATGGACTACTGGCTATTTCTTATTATAGTAACTAGTATATTGTGCACATAATACATATTTATAATTATGCTAGATTTGCAACAGCATATATATCGGTAAAGCTCATACGCCTAGAGCTAGTAATATGCCCTACTACATACAGCGCACATTAATCAAACGCTCTCTGAAGCTCAGCTTAGAGCTTTTCCCCAAAGCTACTCCAACAACCAGTTGCGAGCTTTAAAGCAAGCTTCAGAGCATAGATCGCTTTTTAATACCCTATTAAAATATAAAATGACAGAAAGACTATATGTATTGATCGAAACCTTCTCTATATATGAATATTGTATGCTATCGTATATCGTATAGATCGAGATCGTATATTTTAATATATATTATGGCTTCAATATCGTAACGTGCTACTCTCATACTTATGTGTTATCATATATAGTATCGTTCGAGACCGTATATTAATATATATTTAAAAATTAATTATAATAAATAAATAATATATAGTATTGATTCAATATCGTAACGCGCAGCTCTCACTCGAAGAAGGCTAAGGTTTTGAGTTATATATTGTAGTAGAGACCTTATATATATTATAGATCCAATATCGTGTAGCTCCAACAGATTAAGATAAAAACACATTAAATATCAATTGGTACTATATTTAAATACAGATTCTTGAATTATACATCATCTGGAATACGATATTAATATTTTTCTATATACGATGGATAGTAGAAGCACATATCCTAATTGTCAATCAATTTCATTGATTTTATTTGTATTTGATCACAATATTGATATAAATGATAACTCTAAGCCTTATCCTTCGGAGTTTTAACCTTGTGCGCTGTCACATAGGGCTGAAAGCCATTCTTGTTTGCCTTGTATAGCACCTGATACTCATAGCCATCGGCCGATATAAAGCTATAGCCGCCGCGATATTCAACAGATTTGGGCGTTGTCTCACCCTCCGGTTGTTCGGTTAAATGCTGATCCGGATTCACTTTAACGCTGTAGGTAATATCCTCAGAGCGCTGATAGCCATTCTCTGTCTGAAAGCTACAGAAGAAGTTGGAATATATAAATATATTGGGTATAATAATAACAGCTTATATATACCCGAAATGCAGCTCCTCCTTACGTTCTTCTGCCACTTCAGCCAAAGCCAGCGAAAGCAGCAGCAAAACTAGACCCAACTGTACCTGAAGAGGAAAAGAGTTTCTTGTATAATAGGAAAATAAATCAGCTTATAGATCTTACGTATTTCATTTCACTCATCTATTAGTTTATAAGTTAACACATAACATTTAATATAGGGTATTTCATAAGTTTATAACCAACCCTCGCTATCGCGTGTTTCGTAAGTTAAGAAACAGCCCTCGCAATTGCGACACTGCATACTTTGTATCAGCGCGCTATAACTGCAATGGTCAGCGGCGGTAACCAGATACTTTTGTTTACTGCAAGAGTTTCCGTTATTGCCTAAGATTGCTGAGTCGGCTTGCCGACCATGACATTGTGGTGTGATGCGAGTTTTGGCTTAGCTTAAGTGAAATATTCTATGTAGCTAAAAATCAGTTTTGCATTGAAGTTTGAAGAATAAACCCGCACTACTCCGGCACACCGCCGTAATCAAATTGTTATATTTCTGATCATTGCTGAGCCACAAGGCCAGTTAATAGAAAAGGGGGTGAAGTCAAACCCTCCAACATAATCATCATAAGAAGATTATAATTACCCGACCAACGCTGGACCTGCCACCGACGCCTAGCTCATCGCTGGACCAGCAACTTATTGATTAAGACTATAAATACCCGATCAACGCTGGACCTGCCACCGACGCCTAGTTCATCGCTGGACCAGCAACATATTAATTGGCGCCCAACGTAAAAAAAAAAAAAAAAAAAAAAAAAAAAAAAAAAAAAAAAAAAAAAAAAAAAATTTTTTTTTTGGAATTTAAATCAGAATTTCATATTGCGATTGCCTGACAACGTCATAGCCGAATGCGATGGAAAAACCCACACACTGCAGAGTTGCACCGCTTCACCTGGAGCCACCTTTTGTCGTCTGGCATTAGAGAGTTCATGTGCCAAAGAGCTCCATGCAGGTGGCACGGCACACTGTGAAATCCAGCCGAGCAACCTGGAAATAATCACCCACGTAGATGATGGAATCATCATTCTTAACGACGGGTCCGCAAGGATCCAGGTGGATAACGGCACTGAAATCCAAGTACACGGCACGCATCTCATTACGTTCGGGGACCGAGTCGCGATCAACGGGACTCTGTTTTACAACCACAACAACGTACGCAATAGAGTCCCGGGCATTGCCAACTCTCCCTTGCTGAACATCACTGCCAGCCAAGATGTCCTCAGCCTCCCTTATCTTCATCGTTTAAATGAACGTAATTTGGAGGAGATACAGCAATTCAAGAAAGACGCCGGAACTGATCAAGCTTATCGTGTGGCATTCATCATTGGAGGTATATGCTGTGCTTTAATCTGCATTGGCCTCACCCTTTGGCGGTTCATCGACGCAAGGAAGTCTGCGAAGCAATTACGAGAAGTCGTCGCCGGAATTGGGTCGGCCGAGGGCGGCCTTACACTTGAAGGGGGAGTAGTTAACACATAACATTTAATATAGGGTATTTCATAAGTTTATAACCAACCCTCGCTATCGCGTGTTTCGTAAGTTAAGAAACAGCCCTCGCAATTGCGACACTGCATACTTTGTATCAGCGCGCTATAACTGCAATGGTCAGCGGCGGTAACCAGATACTTTTGTTTACTGCAAGAGTTTCCGTTATTGCCTAAGATTGCTGAGTCGGCTTGCCGACCATGACATTGTGGTGTGATGCGAGTTTTGGCTTAGCTTAAGTGAAATATTCTATGTAGCTAAAAATCAGTTTTGCATTGAAGTTTGAAGAATAAACCCGCACTACTCCGGCACACCGCCGTAATCAAATTGTTATATTTCTGATCATTGCTGAGCCACAAGGCCAGTTAATAGAAAAGGGGGTGAAGTCAAACCCTCCAACATAATCATCATAAGAAGATTATAATTACCCGACCAACGCTGGACCTGCCACCGACGCCTAGCTCATCGCTGGACCAGCAACTTATTGATTAAGACTATAAATACCCGATCAACGCTGGACCTGCCACCGACGCCTAGTTCATCGCTGGACCAGCAACATATTAATTTATATATGGTTTAATTAAAGCTTAATTATTTTTATTTTGACAACAAATATTTTTAGTTTCAGTCTAATCGCCTTCGTTTCGCGATGCTAACTGATGCCAGCTACGGCGAATGTTCTTTGCCAGCAGCTCAGATGAGCAAATCAGCAGAAATAAGTCTAAAATATAATGAAAACAAATATATCTCAGCAGGCAGCCTTTGTGATTCCGATTGCGTCATAGTTTATGGCACAACTTTTGTTCTAAGCCAGAGCCAAAAAAAGAGAGAAAAAAATATAAAAAAAATAAATAAATAACAACAACAACTTAACATAAAGAAAGCTAACTAAAACATTTGAAGCGGTTTCTCGCTTGTTTTTTTTTTATGAGAATTAAATCATAACATCCATCAAATTGTGTTCAAGTATTTGAACATTGTTCAGCTTGTTGCTTAATTTAAGAGATGCTGCAATATTTGTTTTATCTTTTTAGTTTATATTCTTTGAGCTTGTATAAAGCAGAAATTATTTCAATTTGTTCTTGCTTTGTCCTCTAGAATCTTTGCAAAGTTCTTGGCGCGCTAATGAAGCGATTATATAACTAAACCGATTGTTCTGGGTTTTTTGTTATTTTGTTTTGTTTGACTCTTATAATAACTAACAAAATGTATTAAATTTATTAAATGTTTTGCTCTGGTTTAGTTATGGTAAATAGTTTTGTGTATTATTTTTTAACATTTTTTTCAAAATATAAAATCTTTAACTAGTTTTATTTACAATTTTGGAAACTTTTTTTTATTTTATTTTTTTTTTATTCTTTTTAAAAAATTGATTTTTTTAATATTTTTCTATTTGCCTCATTTAAATTATTAAAAAATATTTTTCTTTATTGCTGAAGAATTATTTTAAAATTATACATAATTATTTTCAAATGAATATTTGAAAATATTTTTTTAAAATTTCTCCTTGTTATTTTAATAGTTTTCTTTTTATTTTCAGCGTTTTTTATTGAAAATTAATTAAATATTTAAACTTTTTCGTTAATACTTTAAACAATTGTTCATAAATAAAATATATTTAAATCTTACTTTTAATATACATGAAATGATATTTCTTAGCTTGCATTTGACTGCTCCACCCTCAACTAGCTTAATCAACAGTTGCTACAACTCCCGCGAATCAGATATACATATACTGATATGCCCATTTGAGCTGTCAATGTGGGCTGCGAATAATTTATCAAAGGGTCCGCATCTAAATGTTTATTTAGGCGTGCTGAAAGGACTTTATCGGCGAGGCGGCTGAGGCGCCAGAAATTGCAATTAGATCGTTGCGCTCTGTCAAAATGCATATTATGAATTTGAGAGTCGAGATCTGAAGGCTTCTATACTTTTGGCAAATGCGGGCGCGAAATATGCGCAATGGGTGCGTAGCGAAATGGCGAACCGATGACTCCGATGGACCGACAATTGTTGGTTTTGGCAGCCGGTGCAGCGCTTGGTGCTAGCTGGAGTGGTGGTTAGTTGGTGGATTGTTGGTGGTTTTTGGTGGTTGCTAGCCAATTGTTCAACTGTTCAACTGGGCAACAGCTGACGCTGACACTGGCAATAGCCGAACAGGTTCAAAAATCCACAGCGCCTGGGAAGCCGTCAGCTGCGCGCCAGCACATTACAAGTAGAACAAGCTGGCAACAACATTGCCATTAGCTAGGCCAATGCCAATGTGCCAGCAGCAGGACCAGAACCAGAACCTGGACCCAGTTCAGGGTTGCCAAGCCAGCCACCACCCATCCACCACCGCGCCTGGGCAATATTAGCGGCATCAGCATCACAGTCTGCAGTTGGGCAAAAAGTTAATAGACGATTGACTAAAGCCGACAACTCCAGGGGCTTAGCACCCTTCTTCACCTTCGCCCCGCCCTCGTTTGGGACAGGCAAAGTGCATTAGAGTAGTTGCCAAACACATAGTCGGGGTTGTTGCTGTTGCTGCAGGTGTTGCCTGTGCCGTGCCTGATCCTTATCCTACATCGCCGGCTTCCCGCTTCCCTTCAAAGTTTTGCTTTGTTGAAGCCTGGCGGGTTTTGTTGTTTTTAGCGATTAGTTGCGGAAATGTAAGATTTTTAGTTTGTCGATTTATCTAGATTTCATTTAATTGCTAACTATTTCATGTAATTAATGATAAGGAAATGAAAATTCAATTTGCTAAGCTGCGTTTGTTGAAAAAAAAAACTCTTGAGAATTGCATAGAAAAGTTAATTAAAAAATAAAACGAATAAATGAAAAATTTTTAGTGTCCAATAGATGAAAGTTACAAGCTGAGAATTGCATGGAAAGGCCAAATATGCTTATACGATTAAAAAGAAAAAAATTTTAGATAAGAAAAACCGATAAAGATTGAACTAAAGTCAGCAATAAAAAATGTTGTTAAATATATATTAGAAATATAAGCCCACGGCAGGTGCTTCAATTTATGTTTAATTAAATTAGAATATTTTCCCATCTTCTTAGATTAGTTCGCCTTTAATTTCGTGCAGTGCATTCGCATTGGCCCAGTTTTCGTTTTTCATTATTTCATTTTCCAATGCAAGAAGTGTGGCCACGCACGTGCCTGACCCCCAGGTGCAACAGGTTGTGGTCAAAAGCAAGTATTGGCCATATATATAAAAGGCAGGCATCAGTCGGCATCAGCAGGCATTAAAGTGCATACACCAAATGGAACGAACAACTTTGTGGATAGTTGTGCTCATATGCTTGCATGTGGCAGCCGCTCAGCCGGCGGGCTATCCGAGTGCGCGACCAGCTGCAACATATGGGCCGGCCAAGCCGCCAGCACCGAAACCCAAGCCGAAGCCGAAGCCGCCGAGCAGCAGCTATGGAGCGCCAAAGCCACCGCCAGCTGCGCCTGCGCCCAAACCAGCTTATGGAGCACCACCAAAGAAGCCACCAGCACCACCAGCACCACCACGCGACAGCTATGGACCACCACCCAGCAATCCTAATCAGAATTATTTGCCACCTTCGAATGGGGGCAACGGAGGTGCTGCAGGTGGCGGAGGTGGTGAAACTATACCCATTATTAAGCTGGAATCCAAAGTGAATACCGATGGCTCCTATAAGGTGAGAAGACAAGGTGATTAATTAGTTAATGACAACATCTTAGACATCCTCACTCTATATCGCAGTACGAATATGAGACGGGAAATGGCATCAAGGCCGAGGAGATGGGCTATCTGAAGAATGCTGGTGTCGAAGGTGCTGAGGCGCAGGTGGCTGAGGGCTCCTTCTCCTACAGCAGTCCGGAGGGTGAGAGCATCTCGCTGACCTACATAGCCGATGAGAATGGGTTCCAGCCACAGGGCGATCATCTGCCCACACCGCCGCCCATACCCATCGAGATACAGGAGGCACTGGATATGTTGGCCGCCAACGGAGGCTGTCATGATTGCGATGACGGTGGCGGTGGTGGCGGCGGCGGTGGCGATGGGGGCTATGTCTATCGCAGAAGATAATTAAATTGAGAGAAATGAACAATAAACGCGGATTCGAACCACAACCACAGCAAGAACAACAACAGCAGGTCTTGGCCCACTTATTTAAAACAAGCAAACACCAACTCAAAATTGGCTCGAGCCAGGTGTCTCTGTCTCTGCCTCTGCCTCTGCCTTTGGCCTGTGGCTGTGGCAAAGCCAGCAAATTGGCTGGCACACTTTATATTATTTAAGGGCTGCTCAACCACAACCCCACCCCCCATATTTGTCGCTCTCTATGACTACCCCCACCCCAGGCGTCTGTGACTGTGTGACTGGCAACACATGTTTTTCGCCTTCTCCTGTTGATCGCATCGCCTCAACTATATTAGCGGCGGGGTTGCTGCCTTTGCGATGATGAAAACATTAGTCTCGTAGCATATTTTACGCAGCTCAGGAGCGGACTTGATGCGGCTGCAGTTGAGCCAACCCTTGTTGAAATGGGAGTGCAATTTAGAATCTAAAACTGAAGTATATATATCTATATATATATATATATATATAAACATGTCTAGAACATCATTAACAATCGAGCTCTATCTTATCGAACTACAAAAACTAGAAATTTAAAATCTCTATCATGTGCAAAGTAAGTTTATTATTTCGTATTGCTTCTCTCTTCCAATTTCCTTAAATCGATCAAAAAATCGATTTTAAATATTCAAAGTATACCATAAATTTAATATAAGCTAAATAATTTCATTTATATTATACATTTTTTTTGAATCAATAATATCGATAAATATCGAATTTAAATTTTGCTTTTCTTAAGCAGAACTCGAGAATTATTAGAGCTATTTGCTTCAAATTTTAAATGTAGATATATTTTAAGAAACTACATTTAAAAAATAATTGTTTTTTTTTTATATTCACCCGTTTGAGTTTATAATTGAGCAGCTTCATATGGATTGGTCTGTACTATATTATTTCTCCAAGTAGAATAGAGCTGGATCATATCTCTAGCAAGCCTTACTATATAAATTGCAAAAGTACTTCAACATCTTCTTTTCAGATATCTCTCCATAAACCACATCAAAATTGAGCTTCATCTCTTACATACCCTACATGGCTGGGCCCGTTTGGACCCGCCAGTTCGCTCAGTTAACAAAAATCACGACCCACCCTAAACCACAAATAGTAAAACGATACACACCAATATATTAAGGCATTATCAATGAGGGTGACAGGGCAGGCAAGGGCGAGGGGGATGCCATTGACGAAAGCGAATGCGATTTGTATATGGTGGCATTACAGCAACAGCGCAACAGCAACAACAACAATAGGGACAAGGACAACAAACGATCGTTTAATTTCAATTAAAAACATTTGCCTGGGCACAGAGCCCAAAAGCCAAAAAAAAAAAAAAGGACAAGGGGTTTGGGCAGAGTGGGTATGAGAGGATTAGGCAAAGGAATACGCACACTTGCTACAGGGCCGCTTAGCTTGATGCTTAGTGCTTTAGTGCCGATGTACATGATGTTGCACTTGCCGCGCACAGCCAGCTACCACCATGCGGACCAGGACCTGGCGAAAAGGGATGCCCGAGTCCTGGTTTGAGCTGGTGCGTGCGAGCGAGAGGCTAGCAAAGTGCGTAGCAATGTCTGCGCTGGGAATTCTTGCACTTGACGCCGGAGCTGTTTTGACACTGCAAGCCGTAACAAATCCAAACACAGGACACGGCGAACAGGGAAGCTGCGTCGCTATAAAAGCAGCGGCCGACTTCCAATTGGAAAACAGAATCGTTTACGAACGCGAGCGATGCACACGACGGCTCAACTCGACAGCCTGGAACTGGATGAATCAAGTGGACAGGGTTCCAAGCGCGCCACCAGCATGATCTTTCGCATCGAGCAACTGCTGCCGGGCAGTACCACAGCGACAACAACCACAGCTGCCACGCCCACCATCTCGACCCAGCAGGCGCCCGCGAAGCGACCAAGGAGCAGCCTACGTCCAGGTGTCTATACAGCTCAATATACGCCGAAGGACACGTGCTCCGGTGGCATACCCACTGCTGCGTTGCTCAGTTCCATGGGCACGCCCACGGCTAGCGACGCCCATGTGCATTGCAGTCTGGTGAATGGAGAACTGGCGCTGTCCGCCTCGATGCTGCGACAGATCAAACTCTCCGAGGATATTTACAGCTTCAATGCGTTGTTCGAACTGCACGCCGGCCAGCTGCGCATCAGGCTGGTCCGAGACGTGGGCCGCGAGGATGAGATTGTGGCCTGGTTTGGCGAGGAGCTGGTGTTGCTCATGGGCATACCCTTTCTCACGCCGCTCAACATACAGGGTAAGCACACACAACTCTGGCTAATTATTGGAGTAGCATTTCCATCGAAGTTCAATTGCCTTTATACCAATTGGAATTTATAATACTCTTAAGTAAACACAATGCCAATTGGAGTCACAATAAAATAGCTATAATCTAGTTGGGACATTACTTATACTTGATCTAATTAGAGTTCCCTTCTGATTAAAAAATTCATGTTCTTATGGTACCAAAAGCTAATTGGATTATTATGATCTCTTCTTTTTCTTCAGGCAACAATCGTTACACCTGCCATCTGTGCCATTTGACCTTCGAGACGCCTCATCCGTTGAAGATCCATCTGGCTCTTGGCTGCGGGCGCAGCGTTATGGATCTGCTATGGATGCGTTTACATTATGCACTGAAGGCGACGGCACCCAGCTCAACGACAACAATAACTTTGTCACCCACGCCGGCGCCCTCCTCGACGTCCTCTGCCTCGCCCAATCGCTCGCCACCATTGCCACCTGCCGCGACTACAGCTACATCCGCACGCTTCTCTGCCTTTCGTCCACTGGCTAGCATGCAGTCGCTTGCTCTGCCGTTGCCACACAGCTCCCAGCCGCCGGCAGCGACGCTCTCGTATCTGCCCTCCATTTCAGCGATGGGTGCGCCGCATCCGATGAACGCAGCCGCACAGATCGAGGCGATCGTTAGCAATATGGGCGCCTCGAAGCAGGGTCACCTCTGCATCTATTGCGGCAAGGTCTACTCTCGCAAGTATGGCTTGAAGATCCACATACGCACCCACACTGGCTTCAAGCCACTCAAGTGCAAGTTCTGTCTGCGTCCCTTCGGCGATCCGAGCAATCTCAACAAGCACGTGCGGCTCCATCTACAAACGCAGCCGAGTGGCAGCAGCGTCGACGTCGATGGGCAGCTGGAGGCGGGCTTCCAATGCCAGATCTGTCACAAGGCGCTCGCCCGGGCCAGAGATCTGCAGCGACACATGGAGACGCGACATGCCGCAAGCAGCACCACAACAACGGCAGCAGCTGCGACAACAGAGGGCGGCATGCCTCATCATAGCTGAGCATGGGCGTGGCCTTAATTACTTCTTGTATTTTATGCAGAGTTAGAGGATTACAGAGAAGCCTTATATTTAGAGGAGTCTGGCTGTGATTGGGTTTGAAATCCGCTAGAGACTTGCAGAGTCGAAATATTAAATAAATAATTCGTTTTTATATAGCAATCTGATTTGACATCTTTGACTTTATATTGATTGGTGGGATAGAGGGCGAAAAAGAGAGAGAGGGAGAGAGATGGAGAAATGTAGACAACATAAAAATAATTTAATCTTATGAGAATCACATAGAATGCCAAAGATAAAGACAGATGAAGACAACTTATAGGCCCAAGCTCTTGTTCTTAAGCCTTGAAAGAAAACTTTGTCACTTTACCTTTAATCAGTCACTGGATCAATCAGTCAATCAATTTATATATTTAAAGTTAAAAAATCAATTGATTCAAATTGTTTAATCGCTTTATTCATTTCAATACGTAATCAAGGTGCATTTCTATTGAAATAATGCACAAATCGTATTAATTATTCGAAAATACGCGCGCACATATACACTCACGCACACACCCATACGTGTGTGTGTGTTTGTGAGTGTGTACATAAATATACATGAATACATTCAGGATATCCCATTTGGGCATTCAGACATCATACAGCAAAGCAATCACAAAATGTATTTTAACTATGTCAAAGCAGATCGATACTTAATTATATATATATATATATATATATACATATATATATATATATATGTGTGTGTGTTGGTGTTGATGTTGGTGTGTGTATGTGTGTGTGCTGGTAGAAAACTGTTTGAGCAAAACATGTTCCAAAATAGTCAAAAATACAAGATTTATACATATTTAGTAGTATATGGTAGAAAATGCGACGGTAAGTTAAGAGTATATTATTAAATATAATATATAGTAAATATACATACATATATATATATATATATACATATATATATATATATATATATATATATATATATATATTTATATATATATAATATATATATATGTGTGTTTGTAGTATATAGATCGGAGCATAAAGTTAACTATATATCTTTTTGTTGTGTTTTTATACGTTTACGATACTGGAACTAGTACATTTCTTTTCTTTTTCTTTTGTTTAAACAAAACATTATTCTTGTTTTATACAGTTTAAGGCACTACCTCAAGGAATTTCTATTCCAGAGTGTCCCTTGGGGGGTTTGTTTCAAGTAGTTTCGATTTGTTCTTCAGTTATAAAAGAAAATTTTTAAGGATGACAATACAATAGTGTGTGAGTGTAGGTGTATGTGTGTGTGTGGGTGTATTTATCACTTGAAGCACTTATATATATTTAAACCGTTATCGATATACATATATAGATGTATGCAAGTTTTAGCTAATTTTTACTTATTTGGGATATTTGACGATACGTTTTTGTTGGCTTTAAAGTCTCTACTCGTTATATATTTATAAATATATTAGACATCGATCGTAAATACTCAAGACATTTAGGAATACATACATGTATATATTTATATATATATATATATGTAATTATATACTAGCTTAAGGGGGGGAATTTTACTGGAATTTCTTATTGCATTGTAAAAATCGTAACATAAATTCTTACATGAAGCACACTTGGGTTCGGTTAACTACGATTTTCTTTTGCGTTAACAAAATAGTATTATTATGCAAATTCGGAGTTAATATTAACAACATTTATTACAGTTACTTTAATAAATGTACGTATGCAGTTAGTAGAGGGTCTTTGTATGTATATAATTCGTATATAGTATACAGTATATGAAGTTTTGGTTGTATTACAGTTGCTCGTGCTCGATCGTTGTTGTTCCCGCTGGTTCTTTATCTTTTAAGTGTTTAAGAGTTTTATTTGAAGCATTTTCTGTTCATTGTAATTTCGCTACGCTTAAGTTTTAAATAATTCATTTTTATTTTACTTTTCTTTTAAGTATTTTTTTTTGTTTTTTTTTTGGTTTTCAATGGGAAACCTTGGTTTTAGTACTTTTTGGATTTGATTTAACTTGGCTTAATTGAAATACTGAACTGCTGAACACACACAGACAAAAAATGTTTATTATAAAGTACAATTGGTTTTTTTTCACTCTTATATTTTGGTTTTTTTCCTTTTCATTTAGTATATATTTTTAATATGTACGAGTATAAGTGTTTGTTAGTTAGCAGATCTCAAAACTGTTTTTGTTTTTGTTGAAGACTTTAATGTTCACAATTGTTGTTAGTTTTGTTTATACATGGATCGCATGCAAAACATTGGACGTTTGGTATTTAATATATATATAATTATAATATTTATATTCACTTATTGTTTAAATCTCAATTTGCTGTTGTTTTTTGCACTTTAACAAATTGCTTAAAGCTGCGCACAAGACTTTGTCTACATTACATTTTTTATTTTTATTTTATTTTATTTTTTATTTTATTTTTTTTAATATTTTTAGTAAATCAGCTTAAATTGAAAATACTCTGCTTTTCGAATTCATCGAGCTGTCCAAGTTGAATATGCTTGCTTAATATTTAAAAGACACACAGTATGTAAGTAAAACTATCTCTACTTATATAAGGTTTACAACAAATCCTCTTCGTCATCCAATCAGTTTCCATACGAAAGTTATCATTGAAGTTGTTGGGGTAAGGCATATGCACGCGGGAAGGATTCGGTTGCTGGTTATTAGATGAACAAAAGAACTCTTTGGGAAGACCGAAACGATAGTGACAATTGTTTATGGTTAACAAGCAAATTACATTGTTTATAAAATTGGGCTTATTACGGGTTAAACATTAATTCCTTACGTACGCCTTGCTATACGATATAATAATAGACTTCATCAATGAGAGACTTTATTGCAGTAGTTATTGCTGTTTGTTGTAGTTTATATAAGAAATGGTGTGTGTGTATGAGTGAGTGTTAGTGTGTGTGTGAACAACAAAATGTTTTACAATTCACAATTTGTTGAGCTTTTCTTGTTTAAATTTTATTCAGTTTTTTGCTTTTCTGTTTTTTCTTTTTATATCAAATACCCTGCAACTTCATTAATTATCACAGTTTACATCAGAGATAGTTTAAACATTTTTGCTATGTTTTTACTTAAATTTTTTTCCATTCATTTTATTTTTTTTTTTTGTATTTATTGCAAAAATAAAAGCAAGCGATTTGAAATTTGTGCAAGCGTTTTGTATGGGTTTTTTTTTCTTTTTTGGTTAGATTAGTGCTGAACACATCCTCGTCTAAAGGGAGGTTGCTGTTTCCTTATGACTAAACTATTGTTTTTTAATTGCAATTTTTATGTACTTAACTTTTGCTTTTTTTTTTTTTTTTTTGTAATCAAATCTCATTAGAGATTGGGTTTTATGTTGAGCTGATATGTTGCCTCCTCCTCAACTATCGACCTTTCGAGTTTCGAGTTTCATTTGTTTTAATTTCTATCAACTTTTTATAACAATTAATTTAAATTAAGCACGTGATGTAATTTTGTTGATTATTAATTGTGTGTGCGAAATAAACATCAAATTTTACTTTTCAAGTTTTTTTTTTTGGGTTTTTTTGTTTTCATCTCATTTTATTTTTTAAACATAATTATAATGTAATTATTTGGAAGCAAAAGATGGCATATCCGTTTTTCATTTCGGTTTTGTTCTTTTTGTGTTTTTCGTTTTCACAAACATTTCTCAACAACAACAACAAAGCTGCACAAATTATAATATTTATATATATATATATATATATATATATATATATATATATATATACATATATATGCTGATACTTAAATTTTTTTTTAAAAAAGTATAAAAAGGTTTTACAAGGTTTATACATATGTCTTCTTCATGAGCGTGTGTGGGTGTTTGTGTGTGGGCGTGGCAAATGCTTTTTGTTGTTGCTTGTTACTTCTCTCTCTTTTGTACTTTCGACATTGAATACATTTTAGTTTTCATTTCTTTTTTGGTACAATAAGTAGTATGAGAAAGGGAAAAAAGTATATATCATATATATATATATATATATATATATATATATATATATATTTATATACACCTGCATTTGTTTTGTGCTTGCAGCAAGTGTGTGTGTGTGTGTGTTTGTGTGTGTGTAGCAAAGATTTGATTATTTGGTTTTGCTTTGTTTCAAAGTACATACAAAAATTAATACAAGTCTCTAAATAATACAAACAATAAACATTTTGCAAGCTAAAAAAAAACAAAATTTATGGTTGGGTAGCTCTTAAGTAATGCTCATTTGTTTATAGAGTATTTGAACGTGAAAACAAATGACAGCTTATAATAAATAGGAAATTGGCAATACGACGAGAGCAAGAGAGGATTACAATGAATCAACAACATATTTTCGAATCTTACAAACTTTTTGGGCGGGCTTCACTTATACACAATTATATATATTTATATATATATATATACTTAAATATGTATGCATGCTTATGTATTATAAATGATCAAAGAGCAAATCAAAGGCTTTTCATTTTATGATTACAACTTTTCGACACATTTTTATGTATATATATATATATGAATATGCTATACAAATTGCAGTTGCTGACGTCGTTTCTCAGGCTGTATGTATGCGTGTGAGTCTGTGCGTATATATTGTGGACCGTGCGTGCGTGTATGTGGGTGTTTGTTGAGTGAGTGTGTATGGGTGTATGTGCCGGCACATTTATGTTGTCGTTGTTGTAATTTCCGAAGTTTTTGTGGCAGCCGCAGCTATGCTCTCTGACTTCTTTGGCTGCTGCTCTGCCTCCGCTTCAATTGTGATGTTGCTATCGTCGCGTGCATCGCTGTTGTTGCTGTTACTGCTGCCGCCGCTGTCTGTGCTACTATTGCTGGTGTTGTTGTCGTTGGCATGGTTGCTGTAATAAACAGAACAAAAATATCAGTAAGTGCAGCTGACTGACTCTTTTTATGTAACTACATAAGCAACTGCTTCGCAAGCGTTACCACAGCTGTTCGTGACATATTTATGACACTAAAGTATTAGATTTCATTCTCATATATACTGATAATCTTACTCTAGCTGATGACTAGACTGTCTACTGCTAGCTGCTGAAATATAAAGAATTATGCTTTTAAATCAGCTGCCTAATAATTGTGAACAGCCCTGATCTTTTCTCTAATAATTTCGAGTACCAATTAAGGTACTTCCAACTGCAATACACAAATAATAACACTTTTTTCAGGCTTCCTCTTACAATTCGGCAATTTTGCTGGGTCCGTTCGTGATGAGTGTACTCTGTTGATCTGTGGCCATTGTTTCAGACTGATTGCTGCCGCCTAGAGGCTTGGTCCACATGCCCTCGTCATCCTCGTAATCATCTTCGCCAGCGAGCAGCACCGACTGCAATCGACTTACAATCGATGTTGCTGCCGCGGCAGCCGTTGTGGCAGATGCATCAACATCGTTAAGCTTGTCGCTGGCTGCTTTCTCCACATTGGCATTGTTGTCGTATTCTGCTTGCTGATCATCATCGTTGATGATTGATTGCTGATTATTGGTTGTTGCAGTCATTGACACATCATCCTCGTTTAGCGTTCGAATTTGCTCTGAGCTATTGCTCGTGGACTGTGCGGCATCATTCAAAGGCGCCTGTGTATGAGGCATGCCCAGATCGCTGCTAAAGGTGCTGAAATGTGCATCAAAATCTGCAAAGTTGTCGCTATTGAATTCGCTACCCCAGCTGGAGGTGCCGGCATTTACAACATTCGGGTGCGTATTACAGACGCCCGTCATATCAGCGAATTGAACATCCATATCCCAGGCATCTGCCGCCAAATTGTTGAGTGTTGTCGAATTCTTGGTGAACATGCCATGGTTATGGCCATCGCCGCTGCTGCCCCCGTGCTCATCGTCGTCATCATCATCGTCGTCAATGTTGCGACCAAATTGAAACAGGCTCTGATCATTGTCTATTGTGAAAACGACGTCTTGTAGCGTATTATCCAGATCGCTATAGCAAACATTGCTGTACGATGTGGCGCCGATGTCCCAGGCATTTGTTTCACCCAGAAAATCTTTCGAGTTGTCCGCACTATACTCATTATCCTCGTGTGGATTGCAATTGGCCAACAGCTTATTTTGCTGAGCGACAGCCAGCGTGAATTCTCCTTCCTCGGCATCGATAAGCGACTGCCAGAGCTGCAGGTCGGACTCGTTGCCAAAACTAGAAGCGATCAAGGCAGCGATATGTTCAGATTCTGATATACAATTCGTAATATGTCTAAGTATCTTGATCAGATGGCCCATATAGCCCAGCCGACGACCTTTTTCGGCAGACCTAAGTAGAAGAGATATATATGTACAGTTAATGTAATATTTATAATTTCAGAGGGCTTTTTACTTACTGCGATTCTGCATTGTGGCGCCAATAATTAACCAATTTGGACACCAGTTGGCAATTGACAATCAGCTGTACAAAATTTCAGGTGTTATTAAGAACAAATAATCTGGGATTGCGCTTCTACTCACATATGTTTGTATCTCTGTGGGCGGGTTGTTAATTGGCGCTTTAGTTTTGTCCAAATCGTTGAGAGTTGCCTGTGTGGCATCAGTCGTCGTATTCGGGTCTGCTTGGCTATCATCAGGAGCGGAATTAGCAGGTTCATCAGTTGCATTGTTTTCAATGTGATTCGCCTGTGTGGCTTCCACTTCGTTGGCCTCTTGAACTGTATTAGCAGAAGTTGCTGCTGCTTCAGCTTTTGCTTCTTGTTGTGCTGCTGCCGCCTCGAATTCAATGTCCCCCGTTAGATTCTCTTTGCCGCCTTCGGCGCGCTTAACATCGTTCAAAGCATTCTTCATTTCCACCTCGGCCGTGGTTGTACCCATGGCATCGTTCGTGGCCTTCATTAAGCAATTGAATATATAATCATCTTGGAATATATCGGTACATTCCGTAGAAGTGGTATTATTGTTCGAGAGCTCATTGTAAAAGACCAAATGCAATGCCTTCTCCAGTTCAGTGTGCAGAAAGTTATTCCAGCAGTATTCCTTAAAAAAGTCCAGCAGCAGAGAAAAGTACTCTGTGGCACAGATGCTGAGGGAGAGATAGAATATAAGATTAACGACAGTTGATGGCTGAGCGAGTTCAACTTACGCCTGTTGGATGGTCTCATGCTTGGTCTCTAGGAGAGCTGTGAATACACGACAGACTTGTAGACGCGTCTTGCCAAAAGGAGGAGAAAGAATAGCTGCTGTAGTTTCCAATTGCGGTTTCTGAAAGAGAGGAAGTTTTAGATTAGAGTTGAACTTGACTTGAGAGTTATTCAATTTGATATTTAGAGACAGACTGAGGTGTCAGACATACCGCGGGCGGATTCTTGAGCAAATGCACAAATTCATGTAGCCGAGGTGCTATAACCGTAATCACAGTCTCTTGAACTTCCTGATGGAATTCTCGCTCGCGTTTCTGCAACAAACGCTGGCGATCCGAAGTCGGCTCATAACTGGCAATACAAAATGAAATAGATAAGAGATTCTATATAAATTTAATAATGTATGCGGTGACTCACGTGAATGTAAGGGGCTTGATAAGCGTAAGTACAACCGATATTCCTGATAAGATGGCGCTCTCTAGAGCGTTTGGTTCCAAAATCACATTTAACAAGGCTTCAATTGTCTGTGCAGATTCAATCGTGCGCAATATGGGATTCGAGCCATCAAAGGCCGGCTCAAATGAATCATTCTCCTGCTCCGTTTGACGCATTAGGCGACCCTGATTAATAAGATCACAGAAAAAGTCCGCAACATTTGCATGCTTATCGGTCTCCAGAGGATTACGCAATATTGCAATCAGTCTCTCAACAATTTTATCTTCAGTTAACCACTGGGAAATCGAAAAACAAAAAAATACAAATATTAATAATCGTATACTGGGTAAACAATTAATAAATCTAGGCACTGTATTTTAGCATTTTACTTCGTATAGGTTGCGCTTAAGTTGACCACCATCGATGTCCTTCATCATTTGCATGATCAGATCGGGTATAACAGGTGTGTCAAAGTGTTTACAAATGTAGTCCAAAAAGTTCTTCTGCAATTTAATATACTCCAAAAATTGTAGGCACATATGTTGATACAAAAACCAATCTTGTTCTGGCTTTTTCGTAAAGAGCATGCTAAATGTTTTACTAAAAAACGATGATAGCAATGAATTTAACGGTGGTTCTTTTTCCAAATATGAATACAGCAATTGCAATGTATCCGCATCCGAGAGCAACTTCTCATCCAGCGAAGGTAGGCCACTAGCAAACGACATAATATAAATACAAGTAATATATGTATACATATATATATGTATATAGTAGGGGTTGGGGGCGTTGCTTACAGCGTGAGTATCTCACATGACATGTTTGCATAGTGGAAACGCTGAGACATTGGCAATTCTTCTGAAGGTTCCGTTGTGATGAACTCGACCAGGCGACGAATTACCTCTGGTCGTGTAAAGTAGCTGACCAGATTCTTTTTTTGCGTTTTACATTCCTGCAATATATCCTCCTCATCCAGGAATTCCTCCACAGTGGAATTCTATATGTATGTAAATATGCACATTTATAGTATATTGAACAATGTTATTTGCACACACATAAACGAACGCACACACATGCACATGGTCATGCACATAAACACACACTTTTACGCACCTCCTTCTCGAGCAGCGCCTCTATATTAGCAGAGGGCGCATAACCCTTGTCCCAAAACATTTTTCGCACGTACGTCTTGGCGGTGACACTTTCAGGCTTGTTGGCTAAGAAATGGGGGCGGCAGCACACGCTTGCTTTGCTTTTCTTTTGCTTTTGTTTAATTACTTGTGTGTATTTTCTGCTGTTTTTTGCACTCTGTTTCTTTAACAACGACTTTAATAATTTTTTCACCTAAAAAATTGCGTTGCCACGCTGATGTAAAAAGGGTAATGTTAAACTCAAAATGGTACTGTTGTACTCAATATGGTCACTGTTAAGGACTCAAAATGGCACTATTGCTATTTGTGCGTTTATAAGCAACACAGTCATTATTGAGTTAACATAATTAAGCTATTTCTTAAAAAAATATAAAAGTTACAACACATATACAGAAAGTGGTAATATATGGCTAATATATAATAATATTTTTATTTATATTTATAAATGGAAATTGACTCTAATCACACAGTTATATACTACAATTTTAATATTCAACTAAGAAAATCAAATCTAATAAGTCTCACTGCAATTATAGTATTTTATGGAAGTATTTTTCACATTACGAATATACGGTTTATCTTTGCCGGTCACACTCCAGATAGAGATGAGGGCTATGTTAGCGAGATTTCTTCTATTTCCATTCGGTTGGTCATTCTCATTAGAGATGCGTAATATTCTGAGATTACGCTTCGTGTCAGTCACAGGTAAGTGGTAATTGCTTCGGTCGCGTATTTTTACAAAGTATCGTATTAGATGTCAGTCACTGTTGCTCTCTAATTGCTCAGCTCTATATAAGTGTTACATCTCTAATTAAAGCATCAACGATTTTCAATGTCGCTCGCTTATTTACGAAATTGGCAAATAGCCAGAAAAATAGATAAATTATTAGTTGGATGTTGGTACATAAGGCAATCAGATGTACACGGTCAAGTCGGAAATATACAGCGAGACAAATTATCAGCCAGAGCGCGATGCTGACGGCAACATTCTGTCCAAATTTCGATTCCGATATCCCGATGAGCAGCAACCTAAAGGTAAAGCTAAAGTAGATAATGATGGTGATCTGGAGGTGCAGCGTCCAAGGCGTGGCATCATAGAAATCGAACATTCCGATGCAACAGAACTGAAGCTCGTCGGTCTTCAAGTCTGGCGTGGAGCTTTACTTCTGGCAGATTTTGTCTTCCATCAAAGGGAGGAATGGCGCTCCAAGACGATACTGGAGCTGGGAGCTGGAGTAGGCTTAACCAGCATTACAGCTGCTATGATTAACAAAGGGAAAGTCTACTGTACCGATGTGAATCTCGGCTGCATCCTTGAGCTGATGCGCAAGAATGTCCAGCGCAATAAGCAGCTGCTGCAAGGTCAAATCTCTGTACTGGAATATGACTTCCTTGCGCCAAGATCTCAGTTGAGCAAAGAACTCATCGCAGCCATTGTTGATAGCGACATAATCTTGGCAGCGGATGTCGTCTATGAGGATACTCTCACCGATGCCTTCGTCGCTGTGATGGAACACATTCTGGAGCTTGGCGAGAAGTCTGGCAGATCCAAGTGCATCTATATGGCCATGGAAAAGCGTTATGTGTTCACACTGGAAGACTGTGATTCTGTGGCACCCATGTATGAGCATTTCCTAAGGCAGACAGCGAAAAAGCCTTGGCGCATGGAGGAGTTGTCATTGGATTTTCCACAATACTTTGAATACGAGCGATGCCCGCAGTTGATGCTAATGCGCATTAGCCGACGTTGATTTCCAGACTGCCAGAAGAAGCTGGAGTTGTGTGTAATCTGCATGACTCTACTGTACAGCAAACTCCCTAAATATGAACACGCTTAATTTTATAAATAAAAAATTGTTAGATTTTATTAGTTCCACATAGAGGATTGCAATAAATAGAAATATTTTTTTATAATATTTAACAATTTGCATCGTATGCAAGACTTTAAATTCCCACAGCTTAAAAAACTTTGTCTTCTGTCTTAAAATTAGAGATTAACTTAAAGTTTAATGTCATTACACTATAACCCTGAACCTGTTTCCTTGTGAGTCGCCGTTTCGGTCGTCGATCACAAGTCCTGCATGGCCAGGATGATGTTTTCGAGCGCCTGGCGCGCGTCGGTAGCAGGAAAATGTTGCAGGACACTTAAGGCGGCCGCTGTGTGCTTTCGCTGCAGTTCCTTGGTCTTCGCCAGTGCTGGACCCGCAACGATTGCCTTGTGTATTTGGTTGTAGTCGATGAGGTCGACGGACTTCTTGCCCGGCTCGAGCAGCTTGTAGAGACTGGGATCGTGTTCCAAATGGAAGAGCACTGGCGCACTGACCAGACTGAAGGTAGCATCGAGCGGCAATGTGGGACACTGAAAGCTCTCGGCATCGAGGCAGGCCTGCCAGGCCAACGCCAAATGCTTGCCAAAGCGATAGGCGTGCCTTTGCATCTGTTCGCTCTGGCCGGCCAGCTTAAGGGATGCCTGACAGGATTTGCCCAGCAGGCTGCCGGCATTCAAGATATTCCGACATTCCCACTCCTGCTCCGGATTTCCCATCACCTGGCCAATGGGCATGGGCGTCATGACGTCGTGCTCGTTGAAGTCGACACCGACGCTAAGCGAAGGGCGTTGGAATGTGCCTGGCTTGAAGGGCAGTGGATTGTTCTGCTCGTCACGCTCACCAATAAATTCCGATTCAGAAAAGTCTCGCACAGCGGACGAAATGAGCTCCACAACTTCCTGATTACGGAGATTCGCAAGCTCCGCACTGGAGTGGCCAAGCAAATAGTCGCCGGTGAGCAAGCCTATTTTATTGCCAAAGGACATGTCATCGTAGGTGGTGGCATCCTGGCCAGCCTCAGTGCCACTTTGCAAATTGACAACGCTCTAAAGAGAATCACGAGAGAAATTTGTTAGGCTAAATCTTCGGCATTCATATGATTCCCATACATTGTGGACCAAATGTGAGATGCGTATCATTTCCGTGACCTCTGCTAGTGCACGTTGTGAATGGAGCACCCCGGCGCTCTTATCCTGCTCCACATCGGGTATGCTTGGCGCATGTCCAGCAGCCTTGGATACAAGCAGAACAATGAGACCCCAAGCTTGCATAGTATTCTTGCCATTGTACAGGAGGTGCCTGAAGGAGTAACGAATTGTTAACATGAATGTGCTGTAAATTGAAGTCCACTTACTTGGCCGTCTTCATTAGCGGATGCGTGCTGCCCACCAGTTTGCGCAGATGTAGCGCCACATTTGCAATTTCATCGCTCAGCAGCCAGCGCAGGCTTAAAAAGGATGTGGGATAACCAACGATCCTTTCCGCTTCGCTAACAGCGCGATTCCAGTCGTGACGAGGTGGTGGTGTCACCTGTTTGTTGCTCGCCGTCGACGTTGACGTGCATCGTAATTGAGTGAAAGTTGACAGGTGTGGCAGCTCAACAGGTGAGACCTGATCAAGGCACAGCTGCAGCTGCCTTGGCTGCATCCTTTGCCGCAGTATTTGTTGCATAATCACTGCACCCACTCTGTTCATCTTTGAAGCTGTAATATTTAATACAATTTATTGCACAATTTAACTATTAAATGCTGGCTTCTGCTGATCCGTGCGCTCGTTTGCTGCTCTCTGCTGGCAACTGTTGAAAAGTGAAATCACAGTCGCTGCTCGAGCTTGACGTTGGCTGCGCTGCTTCTGCTTCTGCTGGTGCTGCTTCTTCGTTGACGGCACACTTTTACAGTTTGCAACGCGGTATGCTGTTTTGTTTGTTTGCTCTTGACTCGAAAACAGGTTTTTGTTGGCATGAACACACCTGCTGCCACCGCCACCCCTCGCAACATTTATTTGTTTCTTTCATTTGTTTTGCGTTTTATTGCATTCCAGCAGTCAATCAGCTGTTTACCATTGTATCGATATATCGATACGTGCGATAGCTTGACACGCGAGTGCATTAGAATTTGGCTATCACTGTCTTGCTTCCTTCCTGCTCTACTTTCTGCGCAAGTGAAATTAAAGAATGTACGGCTAAATTTATGATATTTTCAATTTACATACTTTGCCACAAAGTTGCAATATTTTTCTATTCTCGCTCATTTATATACGTTTTATAACATGCCAGCAGTCGTTTGAGCTTTTAGTCCATTGTATTCATATATCGATAACGGCGATAGTTTGCAACATCCGACGCATTGCAATTACATTGGAATATTGCTATTGCTTATCGTATGTACGCCTACACGTATACTTATGCATGCATTTTCTCATGCCCAGCGTACTAGCCTGAAACAGTACTATACCTAAGGCGTAATCGATATGAAAACACTGCATACTTTTGACCGTTGACCTTATCAATTTTCGAGTACCAAAAAAACGAAAATTATTATCAACATACGGTTTATTGATAATGAAGCATACTCATAGTTTTTATCAGTATTCAAAATTCATGACAATTTCTTAATTGTTCGTAGTATTATTGTGATATATCGTGGAAAGAGTTGGAATTGAGCTATACTAATAATAATAATAATAATAATGTTAGACTGGTTAAGAAAGCGTTTGTGTGTTGAGATTTGTTTAGCTGCATTTTACGTATTAGGCTTTCACCTTGCTGAGCGCATGAGCGGAGTATTTTTAAAAGGCCATGAATGAAACTGATTAAGCACCCACCCCTAAAGTGCTTTGAGTACCAAAAACAGAGAATGATTAACAAAGAGAAAGACAGAGAGAGCGCAGTGTCCCTGCTAGAGGAATATTGCGTGCACTCTCTCCCATTCTACGCTCGCTCTCGCGCAGCCAGCTAACGGTGTCTGCTTGGAAAACTGTTAAAACGGCATAAAAATCGAAATCGATAAGTACGCAAAAGCAAGAGCAAAAGCAAAACTGTGCGAAAGCAAGAAATAAGAAACAAGTTTACTTCACAATTGGCTAAGATATTAGTAAAAAAAAACTCCCAATTTGATGGTAGCCAACTGACTAGAGCATGTCGAAGAAAAGTGTTAGAGCAATAGAATTACTTTTGACAACGTAAAGCTACGCGAGAACCAAACAAAAAAAAAAATAAAAGAAAAACTCTGCTGCAGCATAAATCGATATCAGCAGGGGAAATGCTGTGAAAATTTTCATACAACATTTTCCTCAATCATTTTCCGCGATTATGTAAAAGTGCTTAAGAAAGCTAATATAGATGCACGCTTAATATCCTAATTCTATTAGCTATACAATTTGAGCGAAACATTAATTCAAGCCTTTAACAACTTTCCCACCCCCCCTTCATTTTTAGCTGCTAAAGGTAATGTAACGGCATTTGATTGAAGCTCGACAAGAAATCAAAAACAAAAAAAAACGCTTCTGCTTGATACAAAAAAAGTGCGCTAGTAGCCAAGCTAAAACAGAATGCAGCCGCCGCCGCGCAAGGTAAACCAGCTACAGCTTATTTATGAATTAATCAGATACAATATGTATATATAATATATATGTATGTATAATGTCATATATGATATATTTCTGCTAACAGGGAAACTATGTGAAATTCCTAAAGAATTTGCACACGGAGCAGGTAGCTAAATTGCAGCTGAAGAATCAACATGAGTGCGATCTACTGGAGGACATACGGCAATTCACAATCAAGCGATCCGCTATTGAGAAATCATATAGCGAGGGTCTGCTCAAGATCTCATCGCAGTATCTCAACAAGAAAATACCAAATATACCCGATATTAAAATGGATGGCATGGAGGAGCGATGGTAAGTGAATGAAAACTTCTCGCATTCATATAACTCCCACTCCCACTCTCTCTCCCTCTCCCCCTCTCGCTCTCTCGGCACGTTTCAGGAACATGTGGAGCGTTTGGCGCACTGTGCTCGAGGAGAACGAGAAGCTGGCACGGGCCCGCCTCGCTGCCATTGAGGTGTTCCAACAGCAAATAGCGGACGAGGCCAAGGTTCTGCGAGATTATAAGCTGGCCATAGCCAAGCGCTCGCTCTCCGGCATTGTAAATGTGCAGAAGGAGCTGCACTTGAGCGTTGGCGATGTGGACAAGACGAAGAAATCCTATTTCGATGAGGAGCACTGTGCACACGATGTCCGCGACAAGGCCAAAGATATCGAGGAGAAGCTGAAGAAGAAGAAGGGCTCGTTCTTTCAGTCAATTACATCGCTGCAGAAGAACAGCGCCCGGGTCACATCGCGCAAGGAGCTGCTCGAGGAGAAGTCATCGGGCGCTCGCAACGATTACATCTTGAGCCTGGCCGCAGCGAACGCCCATCAGAATCGCTATTTCACTGTGGACCTGCAGACGACAATGACCACCATGGAGAACTATGTGTTCGAGCGAGTCGCCGAGTATCTGATGCTGATGGGGTAAGTGCCAGCCAGGGGGTTCATATGGGGGGTTCATGTAGTACACAGTTCATGTAGTCTAAGATTCTCTTGCCTGCCTGAAACCAATATACCCTTTATCATCCCCGACAGGCGCACCGAGCTGCTCACCTGCTCGGCCACGCAGAACAGCTTTGGCAAGATACGCGACCAGGCCCAACAGCTGACTCGGGAGTACAATCTGCAGTGCTGCTATCTGTTCTATCCGGTGCTCAAGCAGCATATCCAGTACGACTTTGAGGCATGCGACAATGATCCGGTGCGCAAGGTGACCACCGAGCACGATTCGGCAGCGGAGACGCTGACAAAGGAGGCGAAGAATTTGGCTGGGCGTGTGGTCAAGGAGAATGCCTCGATACGGGAGCATGCCAAGAAGCTGGCACTGTGCCAATCGCTGCGCGATGCTGGCCAGCGTACAGATCCCAATGATCCGAATGGCCCAGACTTGGATACGAAAATCGATGAGTTCCGCGATCAGATACGTCGCTCGGAGACAGAGAAGGCCAAGGCGGAGGCGTGTTTGCAGTGTCTGCGCGACGGCGGCATCAATGTGGACGAATGGGTCCAGGAGGCGGAGATTATGGGCGTGCAGGAGCTGACACGTTCCGCCAGCTCTATATCGATGCGCACCGATGCCTCCGGCCAGGGCGAAAATCCCAGCTCCGATTCCTTCTACGACAGCGACAAGGAGGAAGGCGCCACAGCTGTGGCTGCCACGAAGCCCAAGCAGGAGCAGCAGCTCTCGCGGGATCGCACCTTTAGCGACAGCGAGGAAGAGCCTGAGGAGCGCGAACGCGCACAGCCAACAGCTGCGGCTCCAGTGCAAATGTCCAGCGGCTGGGACGACCCGACCGAGGTCAACTGGGACGAGGCCGAGGATGACAAGGATGAGCCCATTGTACCAGAGCCCAAGGAGGCAATCTTTAAGTGCACTGCGCTCTACAGCTATACAGTAAGTGGGCAAAGATTCAAAAGGATCAAAAGTGGAAGCTTATCAACTCCTCTCCTTTTGTTAGGCTCAAAATCCGGATGAGCTGACCATTGTGGAGAACGAGCAGCTGGAAGTGGTTGGCGAAGGCGACGGCGACGGCTGGTTGCGTGCGCGCAATTATCGCGGCGAGGAGGGCTACGTGCCGCACAACTATCTGGACATCGAGCAGGATGCGGCTGCTGGTGGGGCCTTCAATGGTAGTTCTGCCAATCAATTGCGCACACAAATCTCATTCTCATCTGTCGATTATACTGTTGACAACGAAGATCAAACGGTGGACTCGATGCAATCACCCGACCAGGTGTCGGTCATAATGGCGCCACAGAAGCGTCTCAAGTCCGACACCGAATGGTGCATTGCGCTCTACGATTACGATGCCACTGCCGAGGATGAGCTGACCTTCGAGGAGGGCGACAAGATCAAGATTATAACGAAGACCGCGCACGGCGTGGACGACGGCTGGTGGGAGGGCGAACTGGATGGCAAATTTGGTAATTTCCCCTCGCTGGTTGTGGAGGAATGCGACGAGCTGGGCGAGCCACTGAGCGAAGGCGATGGCGACGAATCACCGCCGCCCACAGCGGCGCCCAGTTTTGCATTGCCCCCAGCGCCAGCATTGCCGCCAGAGTACGCACATGAGCTGACGGATATAACGGAGGATATGTTCGCCTCACAGGATACAGCAGGTGAGAGAGACTAGCAATGAGCTTTCCGAGGCTGGTTTTTAATGCGTCTTGCACTCTCTCTCTCTCTCTCTCTCTGTGTTTAGATGAAGATCGGGACAGTGGATATATACCTAATGGCGCTGGCGCACCTAGCATGCCTCCGCCAGGTAATTGCCTTTATATGAGCACATACTCTGCGCTCTATTTCACTCTCTCTTTCTCTCTTACCAAATACTCTCTCTTTCTACAACACACCCACATCGATTTACTATATATATATATATCTATTTTATGTTTCACCAAAAACAAAAACATTTACACTCGAGAGTACTTTTATACCTGCTTCTATATTCTCTAGAGGTAGCCAAAACTTAATCTTCAACTGCAGCTCGTCCAACTACTAACCAATCACAACCACCACAACCACAACCACCACCACCTTTACTCCACCTTTACTCACTGTAACTCTCCGTTTATTGTGCTATCGAAACAGATCAAATCTAACTTTGTGTCCTCTCTGCAAGCCAAAGACTAAGCTAAAAAACTAAGAACTAAAAAACCAAAATCTAAAAACCAATTTTTTACAGTGTACTTTAGGCTGCTTAACAACGTGTCTCCTCCTCTTCGTGTGTGTTGGTGTTTCCTGCTATGCTACTAATTACGATCTCCATAATTACGATCTTTCGATATTTCGACTGTTCCTTAACAAGATTTTTAATGTTTTTTTTTCTAATTTTGTAGTAAATATTTTATGTATTTAGTTTTTTTTTTAATCTGGCACTGATTTTTGACTTGATATTGGTATTACTCACAATTTGTACTTACTTGTCGCTCAGTGTAAGAAAATGCGAGTCGTTCTTAAATGGTTTTAGCTAT